TGCAGTGCCCAGAGCCCCTGCAATATTCTGACTTCTCCCCAGCACTCGCCATCAAACCAACCACACCACTATACCCACTACCCATTCACCTGGGAAAACTGTTTCTCCCGCATCTTGACCTCCTTCTCCACCAGCTGCTGTCTGCGGGCACTCTCACTCTGCAGCCTCCGTTCTACCTGCTCCCGCCTCCGCCGTTCCTCCTCCAGGGCCTGCCGCCGTAGCTCCATCTCCCGCTCCTGAACATAAAGCCAGGGGTCAGTGCCTGCGGCCAGCTTCTGCACCCTGGCTGGTCCCCTCAGGAAAGGCCTACCTTCTCCAGGAGCCCTTCTGGCTAAGAATAAATGCTTTAAATCATGATTGACCTGGCTTCAAACCCTGGTTCTGCCACCATTATGGGCTGTGACTCTGATAAAATTATTTTGCCTAAGTCTCAATGGCCCCATGTGAAAAATGGGGTTCAGGATGCCTCCATCTGGAATTGTAGTGAAAATTAGATCATGTATATAAATGTCTGTCACCAATTCCAGCAGTAAAAAAGCAGTCAAGAAATAAATGAGGCTCATAATTTTATCTGAATTTTTAGAACATGGTTTATTTAATAACTTTTTTTTTTTTTTTTTTTTTGGTGGTACTTGGGTTTGGACTCAGAGCTCTATGCTTCCTAGGCAGGCACTCTACCGCTGAGCCGCACTTTTTGCTTAGGTTACTTTGCCCAGGCTGGCCTGGGCCACAATCTTCCTATTTTATACTTCCAGCCATCACTAGGATGGATGACAGGCACACACTACTCCATCTGTTATCGGTTGAAATGGGATCTCACAAACTTTTTGTCTTAGCTGTACTCAAACCACAGTCCTCCGTATCTCAGCCTTCCAAGTAGCTAAAATTGCAGGTATAACTCATTGGCACCTGGCTACTTTTTTTTTTTTGGCAGTATTGGGGTTTGAAGTCAGGGCCTCATGCTTGCTAGACAGGGGTGCACTACCTCTTGAACCTCACCTTTGACAGCTAGTATACTCTGTAATCCTTCCCAGGCAGTGGACTTTGAAATTCTGTATTAGTAACATTTGTTGTTGAACTTCAAATCTAATGGAGAAAATTCATGACTGGAAACCAAGGTCACAATTGAACTTATAAATGCCATTTACAAAAGGACTTCAAGGGCTAGGTTGTGGCTAGGCAGTAGAGTAAGGCCATGAGTTCAAAGCCCAGTACCACACACACACACACACATACACACACACACACACACACAAAGGATTTCAAAAGTCATTAAAACAAATCATAAATACAGAGCATGTCAGTATACTTTATATGTCTTCATCAGTGATAAAGACCATTTCCATTTCTTCTCAGCTCAAAACTTAGCAGAATCTCCTTTCCCTCCATTTGTCAAGAGATGCTTGTAAATTTGCCCTACTTTGATGTAAATAAGACTAAAAGGTAGTCTTTTTCTGGTTGGTCCTCCATCCAGATGGCCAGTACCCCTTTTATTTAATCCCTTTCGCTGACACTCCCACTAACACCTCAAGAGATGCAGAGTAAATATATATTTATACATATATATTGGTATATTTAAGAAGTAAGCCAGCTGTATACCCAGGTACTAAGGAGGCTGAGGCAGGAGGATCACTTGAGTGCAGGAGTTTGAGGTCAGCCTGGGTAACATAGTGAGAACCCATCTCAAAAATAAGAAAATGGGCTGAAGGTGTGTGGCTCAAGTAGTGGAGGGACTGCCTAGCAAGTGCAAACCCCAGTACCGCCATAAAAAAAAAAAAAAAAGCACAGAGTGCCTCCGATGGGGACAGACCGTCTTTTGCAGACCCTTTGTTCAACCTCCCTCTGAGGCACAGGCCTCTGTGGCCTGTTTATAGCCAGGACAAACTACTGGTCCCTCTTTGCCAAGTCACAGCTCCCTGGCCACGTGAACAGGGTGTGACTTCCTTCAGCCACCCCAGCCCAGAGCTCCCCAGCCAATGGCTTGGACACCTGCTTCCTCTACCATTCTATGCTACAACCCGGGTTCCTAACTATCCCCACGAGGAATGCCCTGCTATGCAGGTAGACAGGAGTCAAAATCCCCAGGGCTCCTAAGAGGTTAACTGAAGGAGCCTCACAGACTGAGGCTCCCATCCTTGAAACTTATGAATGGATAATGGTCACTGCGCTGCCTTCAGTTCTGCAGGACTGGGAATCGGCAGCCTGCTTGCATCTCCCATGCACTGTTGAGAAATACAAACTTGTAAACTACTTTCTACCCCAAGGGCATGTTTCACAGTTAATGTGGGTGGAAGGGCTTGGGGTGGAGCGCAGGCACTCAGCAGGCAGAGGGCAGCTCTGTGCCCTACTGCCTTCTGCCTCCTGGCTCAAGTTAGCCTCACCCTGGACTCCATGAGCCGGCTCTTCTCTGCGTGAGCTTCTTTCAGCATCTTCTCCATCTCCTCGATCTTGCCCAAGTCCAGACCACTGGCACTAGGGAGGGAATGAGGAGAAGGGACTCATCGAGGAGCCAAAGGGCATCTGGCCAAGGGTTGGGGCTGGGTATGGGAGGCACCTGGACATGTTGTCAGGGGAGCAGGCTGAGTTGCCCCCTGTGGAGATGCTGGTCTCCAGGCTGTCCGAGCTCTCTAGGCTCAACGTGTCATAAGCATGCTCGCCCTCCTCCCCACGCTCCCGCCCGGCTGGCAGGTGATGCAGGATGGAGTGGTGCATGAGTGGGGGGAAGCCCGAGGGGCCTGATGGGAAGGGCGCTGCCCCGTGCAGGGCGTCCCACTGGCACTGCGCCTCAGCCGCTGCTTTCTGCTTTAGCTCGGCCAGCCGCCGCCGCTGCTCCTCAATCACTTGCTGCCCTGCAGGAGGGATAAGTGGGAGTCACAGTGGGCTCCCCACCAGCTAGGGGAGGGCACACTGGACCATCACAGAAAGAGGGAGGAAGCGAGCAGGGAGAGGTTAACACAGAGCAGATCTCCCCCAGCAGCTTCCCAGAAGCCCCCACAGCTCCAGGCCAGTGGCCCTGCCAAGGCTTCAATCACCTGCACAACTGGCCATGGCACAGTCTGACTTCAGCACTCTTTCTGCATCCTGAGCCCACACAGGGCACAGACTTGCCCAGGTAATGCCTGGGCAGCATGACAGCCAGATGCTCCAGCTTACAACCAAGGCCTGCACAGGTGAGCAGGGCACATGCACCCACCCTACCTGTTGGGGAAGGAGAAGCAAGGGGAGCTGGCAGAAGCCCCTAGGCCCCAGAGTGCCAATGCAGACCTCTTGCAATGCAGAAGCAAGAGCAACAAGAGCAGGAGAGGCGAGGGAGACAAGGGAGTGAAGCTGAGGCCAGCTGGAGGGGGAAGCCAGCTAGGAGGGGGAGGCCAGCCGGGCACCCCAGCCCAGCTAGGCCTGGCAGCCTGCCTACAGGGCAGCGGAACCTGAACAGGACACATCATGCTGATGCCAGGGCAGCGGCTGCCTGGCTAAAGCAATGCCCTCAGTGACCTCTACCTGCTGGGTCGTCGGGTAGGAGGGGCTCGGCAGGAAGCAACTCGACTGGTGTGGGGGACCCCAGGCAGAGGGTGCAGGAGAGAGACACAGAGGGGATAAGAAGAGAGAGAGGCACAGACATGGGCTTTCAAAACAATCAAAACACACAACACAAGCAACAAGGACTTCTGGGTCCCTGGAGCCAATGTCTCAGAGAACCATTTCTGGGGGGTCATCAAATCCATCCCTGCCTACAGACAGGGCAATGTCTAGCCTTACTAGGTCAAAAAGCACTCCCCTTATTGGCTGAGCTCGCTTAGAAGATGTCACAGCGCACCCCCCCCCCCCCCCGCCCTCGTCCTCTGTCCTGGAAGCTTTTGAAAAGTATCCAGGAAGTTCTTCTTTAGGTGTCCAATCTAAATCCTTTCTGCTCCTACCCCGATCCCAATTAAAGGAAAAAACAGCCTGTGAAAGATGTGGGCATGGATGAGGCAAGTGGGATTCCTCAGGGAGCGGGGGAGCTGGCACTGTAGCCACTCACCCTTTTGCTGCAGGGCCAGCTGGCGTTTGGTCTCAATGTCCTGCAGCGTGGCTGCCAGATTGCGAGGAAGGCTACCTGTGCCATTCGGGGCGAGGACAGCACTCTGCAGAGGGAAGGGAGAGTTGGTGCAGGCTCAGCAGACCTGCCTCCACCCCAAGGCCTGCATGGATGACCTTGGCCTCTGCACAGCATGGTCTCTATCCCCCCACCACACACCATCCTCAGACCTTTGGGGAGGGGCTGCGGCCCAGGGTAGCCACGCTGAGTTGGGAGGAAGAAGAAGAGGAGCCTGAGGAAGAGGGCAAGGGGCCGCTTCGGGTCCGGGGCAGAGGGCTGGTGGCCTCACCATCCATCTTGGAGCGATAAACCTGGAGGGAAGAGACAGTGCCCAGTGACCCCCAGCTTCCCACTGGCAGACACCCCCTTAGGCTGCTGTGATGTGGGGTACTGCCCTGGCACCAGCTTCTCGGGCTTCTGGCTCCAGTTGACAATAGGGTTGAGACTGATGGGCCGATGCCATTGGCACTGTCAGGCCTCCTTTCCAGGCCTTTACTCCCTGAGCCAATCCCTGGCCCTACCCTGGGTCTGAGAAAGAACCTGTAAACTGACCCATACAAGGGATTAGTGTCAGGCAGGCAGAGCTGTGCAGGCCAAGTGGAAACCAGACTCCTTCTATTGCCAGCTCGGCCACTTACAGGCTGTGAGACCCTGGGCCATGTGGTAGACTAAAGAAGTCCCAAGCTCCTTTGCAGCACGAACATACAGTGAATATGGTCTTTGGAGTCAGGAGTTCGAACTCTCCACACAAGTTTTAAACTTCCGAGCTGTGTGGCCTGGGTGAGATTACTCATTTTCCCCGTGCCCCAGCATTCGATCTGTAAAATGAAAGCTAACATCACAGTTTTCAATGCCTGTGGTGATGAATCAAAACATGTCAAGTCTCTAGCCAGCTGGGCACCCAGTAAAGATGCCACATGTGTTATATGAAGCAAACTCTTCCCAAAGGGAGCATTAGACATTAGCTGAAGTCACAGCCTCAGAAGTTCAGTGTCTTGAATCTTGAATGGGGGAATCTCAGGCCCTACAGCAGGTCAGCGGAGCAAAGCTTGGTAGAGGATGATCCAAGTACCCTGTCCCCTCACTGGACAACTCTCAGGAGATGGCTAAGTCCCCAGGAATGTCAATTCAGAGCTCTTGTCCCCCTCTTTTCTGCCTGCAAGTGTCACCCGTGGGAAGACCCAGAGAAACAAAGCACTGGCGATTCTAGGACACAATAGTTCAAGTTATAGGAGACCTAAGAGGTTATCAGGACCCCAGACAGGGTTAGAAACTCTAGAGCGGACTCCCTTGCATTGGTCAATCAAGCATGACATCCTTGGACTTAGGAGGTTGGCCCTCCAGCTGCCCAAAGTGCCAGAAGGGCAAAGACCCTCGCTGCCTTCCCATGAGCCCCTCCTTGTTCTTCTGGGATGACCCCATGCCAAGGTACACTGTGTAGACAAGGGATCTGCAGGAATGCTCACAGGAGGCAGGAAAAACACCTGGGGAGGACAGGCAGTAAGGGTTACCTGCAGCTGACGGGAAGCTTTGGCAGGCAGAGGCGGGGGGGAAGAGCGAGGGGAGACTGCAACAGGGCCAGTCCCCAGCCCGGCCATCAGCTCCTGGTACCACTGCTCTAAGTCTACAGTAGGGAGCAGCAGCTTCTCCATCTGGAGGGATTGAGGGAAGGCAAGGACAGAGAGGGAGGGCCAGGACAGGGGAAAAAGGAGATGGGAGGAAAAGGAAGAAGGAAGGGAAGGGTTGGAGGCAAAGGAAGGCCATGTCAGGGAATGGATAGGAAGGTGAGGGAAGGAAAGAAGGGAGAAAGGAGAGTATAAAGAGAAGGAAAAGAAAAACAGTGAGACAACAGTTGCTCTGAATGTGTAAGGGCAAAGAGAAACAGTCAGGGCACAAATCCCAGAACACAGACATGTGCTAAGCCAGCCAGTCAGCCAGGGCCTACAGGCACCGAACACTCCCCTTGGGCTGGCCTAGAGCAGGGGCAACACACACCCAGACAGAGCCACGCCAGCAGCAGGATGGGGGTGGCAAGGACACAAAGACCACCAACCTTGGGTGAAGGCGTGATGGAAGCCAAGGAGGAGGAGGGCAGCACAGGAGGAAGGCAGGTGGTGGGAACGAGGTCCCGGGAGGCAGAGGCCCAGGGAGGCAGGCCTGGCGCAGGGGCTGGGGGCATGGGTGAGGTCCCCCACATCACCTTTAGCTGCTCAAGCGTCACGTACTTGGGGGAAGGCCAGACGCAGGAGGGAATACAAAAGGTTAATGGGACTGATACCCAAGAGATGGCCCTGCCCACGAAGAGGGAAGGGTAGAAATCATAAGGGAGACCAGCCCTCGTGCTTAGAGGCAGAACCCTGTCAGAATCACGCCCTCTCTCTAGAGCGGAAGGCAAGGCCTACCCCTCCCTAGGCCATCAGGAGCTGAGGACAACTCCCAAGACCCCAGGGAAGAAAGAGAACCACTCTCAACCCCCTACGCCAGCTTCCCTCCGCCCTCATGCTGAAGACAGGCTCTGCTATCCCCCCACCTCCACCCAGGGTAAGGTGCAACGGTGGCGCTTGGATACAGGTGGGCACACTTGGTGTCTGGTACCTCACTGTCAGGCAGGGGCTGGGGGAGCACGCTGGGGGAAGTGGCAGAAGCATAGGGGTCCAAGCAGGAGCACAGCTGGAGAGCCTCTGCCAGGCTCACATACTCCTAGGGTGCCCAGGGTGGGGGCAGAGAAGAGGTTAATGGGATTCAACCAAGTACCCAACACCCCACACTCCATGCCAGGAACAGAGCCATCGCTCCAAGTCAATACAGAATCCACAGCGGGGGCGGGGAGTGGATTTCAGTAGCCCACTATGGCCACAGGTGGCTGGGGAAGGCAGGGTGACCTCAAAGGGTCCACTTTGGGCCACCTTGGCATTTATGCAGATCCCAAAGTCTCACCTCCGGGCTGGCTCTGGGATGGGGGCAGGTGAAGCAGCCCAGGAAAGGCTTCCAGGAGCCCACTGAGGACAGGACCCAGCTTCTAAAAGCCCTGTCTCCAATGCCCTGGGCATCCCCTGCGGGGCACACGCATGCAACCCTGAGCACCAGTCACACCATTCTTCAGGGTCCCCTCGCACCCCATCCACCAAGCAGGAGCTGGTAATGAGAGGGAGGAGGTGGGGACCCACTAAGGCCCAAGCACATAAGCTCTGAGTAACAGGCTTTTGCAGAGAGCAGCCAAAAGCCCTGGCAGAAAAACAGGTCCACTGCCCAGGTAAGTACCTGGCAAGATGCCAGCCTACTCAACTGTGGCCTGGGAAGACAAAGACCATCACGCCCATCACATATCCTCAGACCCTGAGCTTATTCTGGGTGCTCGGCCATGGTAGGTATCTATACTGTGCTGCACCACAGCACACGGTCTTCAACCTGCCTATCCAGGGCACCCATCCAGGCCTATCTCCAAAGCCAGACTGTCCTCTGGGACAGGAAGGAAAATGAAAATGAACAAGAGTCCAGTGCCTTGTGCAAACTGGTGAATGGCATAGAAAATACACACAAATTAATATGCAAATCAATGCTCTATTTTTGCATGAGCTGCTTAAGCATCCTATGGACAACAAGATAGCACTCACACAAACTCCCAGACTCTGCCCAGCCAAAGGATTCTTGCCACACGTCCTACCACCAGGCCCTAGGGAAAGCTGTAGGCAGGAGCTCAGGCAGGCAGGCAGACAGGCAGCGGGCAAAGCAGAGTACGCAGTCAGGTGTGATTGATTACCTCTTGTGCTTTGGGGCAGAGTAGAGTAGAAGTGGGTGGGGTTAAGGGGACAGAGGAGCCCCCAGCCTGAGAAGACCCTGGGAACCGACTCAGAACCTTGGTCCCTAGTCCCATATCTGAGGACTCGGAGATGAACAGCTGAGCCTACAGAGGATGGTACATGGTAAGTGGCCTTACTCCTCATTTCTGCTGGGGCCACCTCGCCCCAGGTCTAAATTGTTTGCACAGTGAGACCAGGAGGCAGGGAAAGATCAGAAAATCAGGCATGTCCTGGCTGGACCTTACACATGGTATAGACTTAGGAAAGAATGAGTCAAAGGGCGCTAATGCCCACTTCTGAGCTGAGAGCCTGGATCCAGACTGAAGCCCAGAAAAGCTCAGGACGAGGATCCTTAGATCCTGTGCTCCTCCTCCCAAACCTCTGAGCTGTCTACCCACCCCACCAAGGGCCCCTGAGCCCTTCACATGTATTCAATCACCCAAAACAATGAGATCAGTGGGCACCTGAGAGCCCAAAAGTCAACTGAGAAGAGGCAGTTGGTAGCCAGAGGGGTCAGGTCTCAGACCTCACTAACATCCTCCTCAAATCTCTCCAGTTCAAAAAATGTCCCCATTATTCAACCTCGACCATTGGGGTAAAGGTGGCAGAGCCTCCCAGGGGCCCCCGCCCCCACCATGGACCTGAAGCTGGTGCTGATCCAACTAGGTTACCTCTTTGAGGGTCGAGGTGGTCTTTGGGAAAGGCCTGCCCCCCGTGAGTGAGTGGTATTTCCTTTCCAGCACGGTCAGTTTCTCCTTCTCCTGTGAGGCCAGAGCAGCACAGTCAGAGAGAAGTGGGAACAAGAGAGAGGGAGGAGACCCTGTGAAGGGGCCCCATGCTGACAATCTCCCCCCCAGCCTCCTGTGCTGTCCTCCTCTCGCCCACCACAGGCTCCACCCAACCTGAGGGCCTACCTTCTGCAGTAGCTGCAGAGTGGCATTCTTATCTCGTGCTAGGCGTTCTGACTCCTGCACGCCTGAGCCCGGATCTGCCCAGCCTGACTGTCCAGAATGGCCAGGCGCTCCTGAGGAGATGGAGTAGTCAGTCAGACCCTGGGGAGACAGGGCTGAGCCTAAGGTGAGGCCTGGCTGACTCTCCTATATGGAGAATCCAGGCTCTGGTGAAGGAAGCTGACCAGCTCTTCTTCCTCACCCCAGGAAAACTCAAGTTCCTCCCTCCCTCAGCCGTGAATCCTGTGCCACCAAGCATGCTAACCGGAACCCAAATCCCCCTTCCCTCGCCCTACCTTGGGTTAGTGGGTCCTAAAGCCTAGTAACAATACTGACAGTTCTTTGTCTGCCACCCTTCAGATCCAGGTCTGCTCCTTCGTGGCTGGGCTTCTTCTGGCCTCTGGCTTTCTCTCTCACAACTTTCTGATCCACTCCACTTTGCCATAAATTATTTTCCTGAAATGGCCTTTGGGCTTTGTTTGTTTCTCTGAATTTTCTAATCTTTCTAAAATGAGTATCAGATTACTCGCTATGTTGTCCAGGCTGGCCTTGAACTCCTGAGATCAAGCAATCCTCTTCCCTTAGTCTCTGGAGAAGCTGGGACTGTAGCTTCTGGGACATATCTTTAGAATCTGAGTATGTATCACCCCTCTGGCTGTTGAGTAATTAAAAAAAAAAAAACCCACAAACAAGGTCAGATCACTGAAGTCATTCAGTGACTCATCATTAGCCACAGGATAAAGTGTAAATTCCTTACCCAGCATTCAAAGACTTGCAGGTTGGTCCTACCCTTTGGAGCATCCCTACATGCTCATTCCTCTGTGCCCCTAAACTTGGCCACACTGTACACTCAACTTGCAGCTGTAGCTTCTCAGACTTCCCTTCTGTCACTCCCTTAGCCTAGGAAGGCTGTCCCAGTCATCTCCACCATCCTGAGCCTCCTCATCTTCCAAGGCCAGACAGAAATTCTATCTCTTCTTCAAAGCCTTCCTTGGTTGGAGCTGTGGCTCAAGTGGTAGGGCACCTGCCTAGCCAGTTGTGATGCCGTGAGCTCAAACCTCACACCACCAAAAACAGTCTTTCTTGATTATCACTCGATTTCTTTGCTCATATTATTTTGTATCACAATCCATCTTGTCTTACGGTTATCTGTGACTGTGTCTGCCTCATCAACCATCACCCAACCCCAAATGTAAGATCCAGGGGCAGTAGCAGTGTTATTTCTGTCTCCAAAGCCCCAACAGGGCTTAGCGCAGTACCTGGCTCAACAATCATGTCCTGCTGGCTTGGGTTGGGGGTGTGGCTCAAGTGACAGTGCACCTGCCAAGCAAGCCCAAGCCCTGGGCTCAAACCTCAGTACCACCCCTCAAAAAAGACAGGGAGAACAAAGGGGACTAGACAAAACAGGCTGGGCTAATCCCTGTAGCGTTTCCTGAAAGAGGTTTTAAGTGACCATCCTGAGGAACAACCCCTAGGAGAGGAAGGCATGAAAAAGGGACCTGTCCATAAGCAAAGTCTGAAGTAGATAGACAGCAGTCCTCACAGCAAGGCTATACCTACTGAGAATCTAGGAGAAGCCAGGAATTCCGCTAACGTTTTATATTTGCCACTCATTTGACCTTATGAGGCAGGTGGCATTTCACACGTGGGAGCACTGTCATGTTAGGAGCTGAGATCTCCTAGTGAGTAAGTGGTAGAGCTAGGACTAGAACCAGATCTGTCAGATTCCAAGACCAGTCCTCTCAACCACTCTGAACCAGAGTGGACAGGGGAACACAGAGCTTCAGGGCAGACAGAGCCTGGGGTGGGACACTGGAGCTGCAAGATGAGGGAGGGCTGGGCAAGATCACAAGGAGGGACATGGGGAAGAATGTGACACACACACACACACACTCTACAAAGGGCAGAGGCAAGCCTCCTCCTCCATCTCCATCTCTCATTTCCCTGCCCAGACAGCGCAAAGCCAACTTCACCTTCCACTGAAGACTGAGGAGAGGCAGAGTTTAATAACAGTAGCCATCTTTGATGAATGCTTTCTACTATCACATTCTTTTTTTTTTTTTTTTTCTGAGCCAATTTCCTTCCCTTGAACATTAGGAAACAAAAATATGGAACGCTTCACGAATTTGCGTGTCATCCTTGCGCAGGGGCCATGCTAATCTTCTCTGTATCGTTCCAATTTTAGTATATGTGCTGCCGAAGCGAGCACCTACTATCACATTCTATTGTGCCTTTTCACCCTAATTTTCTGAGCAACCTGTTACAGTTGTCACGGAAGCAGAGATACAAAGAGGTGACTTTTGTGACATTAACTTTCGTGGAGTCACCTATTGCGATGCAAGCCCAGGTCACTAGCCTCCAACCTGAACCTGGGCGACCCTGCTAGGCGCGGCGCCACGTGGGAGCAGGAGTGGACGGGGCGCACCTTCCTCTTGACCACGCTGCGCAGCAGCTCTGCCTTGCTCCGCAGCAGCCCCTGGCCGGCCAGCTCGCGTTCCTCCTCCACGCGGCTCTCCCGCTCCAGCTGCTGGAACTCCAAGTCCTCAAAGAGCTTTGTCTCTGTCTCCAGGGCGTCTGCCTCCTTCAACAACAGTGACATCGGGGCTTGGGTGGTGCTCGAAATGGCCCAAAAGGCCAGGCCACAGAGGAGTGAGTGGTGGGGGTTGAACCCAGGGAAATTTGGGAAAGGGACCTGCCCCCACCCGACTCCCTCTGCTCTGCTTGGCTGTGATCTTTTCGCGGGCTTCGCTGCCTGGGCCGCTGATCCACCCCCCACCTCCACCCCCAACCTTGCCTGTCCCCCTCCAAGCCACAGCACCGACCCTGGTATCCAGCAGGTACTGCAGGGGCCAGGCCGTCCCGTCCCACCGCTCTGCTCTCTTCTGTCGGGGCGGTGGCCCGCGGGGGCCGGGGGAGGGGGCTGGTGGAACTGACCCTTCTCAGCTGCTCCTGTAACTGTTCCCGCACTGACTCGGGGCAGTTATCGAGCTGCGTCTGGAGCTCGGCGTAGAGCGCCTGGCGGGCCTCCAGGTGCCTCCGTCCCGCGGCCAGCTCCGCCCTCTCCTGGTCGGCGGGAGGGGAGGGAGGCGGGGCACAGGGGAGAGAGAACACACACTCCTCAACTCCGGCCCGGAGGGGGCGGGGCGCGGGCGCAGGGAGAGGGGGCGCGGGTGGGGTCGGGGTGGGGGGAGGGCAAGGAATCAGAGCTGGAGCGGAAAGGAGGCAGAGGAGTGGAAAGGGAAAGAGTAGGAGAGGCAAGGTGCAGAGGGCAGACGTGTTGGGGACAGGGTGGAAATGTTGGTCTCTTGGAGTCCCTTGAACTAGAAAAGTTCTCAGACAGGTCTTCGGTTTCCTCTCCAAACCACTCAAAGTCAAAGCTGGTGGGTGCCACATGGCAAAAGCAGAGTCTCCAGCTCTACCACTGCTCAGAGACCAAAATTTAACCCTGGGAAAAAGGGGAGTGATGGTAAGGGTTAAATCCAGGGGTTGGGAGTGAATGGGGAGCAAAGGATGTTAGATACAGCAGTACAGCAAAGGGGACCCCAGCCCAACCCCCTTGACCTCCCTCCCTTCCTGCCCAGGAGGGGGTGGAGTGCCAGGCTCTGCAGGCTGAACTTCAGTAGGGATGAGGGTTGCAATTAGTTCGGCCGTTGCCATGGTAATAGGAGCCCCAGGAGTGGGTACACAGAGGAGGAGGTGGATGGCTCTGTCTGGGGTGAGATGACACCTCTGAGGGTGGGAAGGGGGATGGGGGGGTGGAGTTGGTGAGTCACCTCTCTCAAAGGACAGAGGAGAAACTGTGATCACTGATTCCAAAGCCAGAGCGGGAGCCATCCACGGGCTGGGAAGGGGAGCCACCACCACCACCACCACGACCATCACCACCACCACATTCCACCACAACCTCAAACAACTAGGCCCAAAAGAAAGGCAAAGCTGCCCAGGCCTCTGAGCAACCCCAGGTCGCTGAGAAGTGAGGTTAGGCAGCTTCCTTCTGAGATGCTAAGAGCAAGCCCCTATGCTGCACCTGAGAGGCTCACTCACCCACCCGCCCATCCCAGATGGAAGGCCTTAATCAGGCCAGTTCCTGGGGTCCAGACACTTCCCCATCCTTGGACACTACCTTTAAAATACCCTGTGTGGCCTCCAGCGGAGTGGGGGAGGAGAGCTACCCATTCTCCTCTCTGCTTGGGATATTTGAATTCAAAAAAGCTAAGATGACTAGCCAGAGTGGGCAGAAAGACCCTGTCCAAGCTCTCCAAGGCCATGCTCACAGCTGGACCTCCTTACCACTCAGCTAGGTTGGGGGGAGGCAGCCCAGGCCTTTCCATTGGGAGGAACTGTCCAGGCATAGCAGCTCTTAGGCCAAACATTTCCCCCACCCTTATACCCTCCTGCCAGTGCGCCATGAGCAAAGTTTAGCTGTGCTCTCCTGCCAGTTCCTTTCTGATCAAATCCATGGGTCCCACACCAAGAAAGAAAGAGGCAACATTAGAGGGAAGAGGCCAGGGACACAAGGGCACCCATGGAGTTAGTACAAAAGCAGGTGTGGCTCAGCCTTGCCTGGGTGGCCTGGAAGTTAGGGGCATGCAGAGAGCCCAGGACAGTGATTAGAGGGGGTGTTAGTGCAGGCCTGGTTGGCAAGCATCGAGTTAATATGGCACAGGATTTGGGAGTGTGGTTTTGGGGACAGAGCCAAAGCTCAATAAAAAAAAAAAAAAAAAAAAAGGTCAAGGAATTTTTAAGACCCTCAAAATTGAGGGCAAGAAGAAAATACTCTCAAAAAAATCCAGAAGGAAAATTCAATTCTTAGAAAAATACTGTCAAATCCAGAAATAGATGACCCCTCTCCTCTTCAGAACTTTTGGCAGGTTGTTGGGCATCTTGGGTGTGGCTGGCACGACCCCTGTGGGACGGAGTGGCCCCTGCAGGCTGGCACGAAATCTGAAAGGGGCAGGAGCTGGGACCGTCTGGGATGGAGGCTGCAGATCCTGAAGACCGGAAGCAGAGGCCTGTGAGCCGTCTCCCAAAGACCACATCCTAAGCATCTGAGGCACACTTGAGGGAAAGGATCTCCTCATGGCAGGACCCAGACCTGAATAACCCCCAGTCCCTCAGGCTGGGCTCACTGCCCAAGAAGGGGCTTTGACACTTCCAAGAAGGGCCTGAAATGGCAGGCACCCAGGCACCCAGAGGTAGCACAAAGATCCAGACAGAGGAGATCCCGAACACCAGCCAGCCCCTAGCAGCACCCTCCAAGCTGGTACCTTCCACAGAGGACAAGGCCCTGTGTCCCTGGAGGGCCACAGAGACCCTGGTGTGCAGGATGGATGATGAGATGAGGGATACAGGGCCCCAGGGAAGGCACTTCTCTCCTGGGCCACTGGTACCCAGCACTGAGCTGAGCCAGCTGTGGGTTACCTTGTCCCTCTCCTTCTGGATGCCTGTCTCCAAGGCCACCAGCTTCTCCTGTAGCTGGTCCACTGCCTTCTGCTCCTTCTGCAGCAATGTCCACTCTGCTTCTCTCTCTCCCTGAAGCAGTGCCCGTTCCATCTCAGCCTGGGAACAGACACCAAGATCTCCATCAAGGTAGTGAACTTGAACTCAGGCCCCTGTCTGGGACCAGCACTTTCCTATCCAGCTCACCTCTCGGGCTGCCTCCTGCAGCTGCTGCTCCAGCTCCTTCACTCGGACCTTGAGCTGTTCCACACGACCCAGAACCTGAGCCCGCTCCTCTTCCAGGGCCAGCACCTCTCCCTGGAGCTTGGTGCTAGGGACATCTTCGTGCTGGAGAAGAGGGAAGTTCATCAGCTGGAGAAGCCCACAGCCTTCCAGGATCAGACTACAGAGGCCAGATCACCCATTCTTCAGGACACTTGAAAGGGGTAGTTAGACTGAGACAGGAGACTAATCCCCTCCTTGCCAGGGGTGCAATAAGGGCTCAGCCACAGGGAATAAAGATTTACCAGAGTGCCAGACCTGGGTGGGGTGCCGAGGAAAGGCAAGTCATAAAGCATTTATAGCTTGGGAAAGTCATCGTCACCTCCCTTCTCACTTCTATACCTTTGGTCTCTTCCCAAACTTGATTCTTCCATTACTTCCTTGCCACTGGGCTCTGGCATTCACACCAGACCCTGGACCCACCCCACACTCCACCCCCAGGCTCCCCACCTCCTGCTGGGTGCTTTCTGTGCTGCTGCACTCTTCCTTGAGATTTTCCTCATCTGAACGCTCCACACTCTCCCACAGGCGTTGGGCAGCACCTCCAGGCTCCTCACCCCGCCCAGAGGCCACAGTGGCCCCTGCCAGGCCACGTGAGGGCCTCCGGCCTGCCAGCGCCAATGCCGCAGTGGCCTCTCTGATGCTGGGCAGCTCCCCGGCCTCAGTTCCCCCATCAGCCCGGCTATACTCGGCACACAGGTTCAGGATAGTCTCTAAGCGCTGGCGTTCCTAGGGAAAGTGGACAGAGCAGGGCATGAAGAGGAGAAAGGCAGTGCCCTGATGTGGCTGTACTAGACACTAAGGGCTTCAGGCTCAGCATGAAGTCAGGAGAGCCCCAATTCCAAGATCTGTGCAAGGTAGAGGGAAGGAAGGTGCCCCAGAAGTGAGCAAGAGAACCAGGCCATGTGCCACCTGTCCACGTGGCCAGTCCTCCCATCTTCCTGTTTCCTTTCCCTTCTATCCAAGGATGGGGCTTCCTGTTGGTCACACAGGGACATAACCAAACCATCCATGGCAATACACATAGGCAGGCATACTGAAGACCACAATCAGACACAGATCAACTCAGTACACACAGACCTACAGGTGCAAGGCACATTGACACACTAGTACTGCCACACTGGCACGAGCAGAAACTCCTTGTGCACTGGCAGGTACACTGGCATTAACAGCAGGTTAACACACAAAGACATCAGCCCCGACATGCAGAAGTGCACACTCACAGATAAACACAGCCTACATGCAGCTAGATGGCCACCTGCAGACAGACAGGGCTGAAAAGCAGATCCACGGACCTACAACCCAGACAAACATGGAGAAGAGGAAGACCTGGGAGCAGTCCTCCTTGTCCGCTCGCCCCACCTCAGCCCCAAGGCACCCTCAGGCAACCTTCTGTTCTTTGTAGGATGGGCTCAGGGCCAGGTGTGAGTTCTCCCTCCATGGCTGTGGCACTTAATCCACCCCTACATATACCCTCCTCCACCCAGAAATGGTCACCTTTCAGGGTCCTAGGAGGTGAAGGATGGATAGCACAGCCATGTTCCTGGTCTGGGTCCTACATACATTCACAACATGGCAGCCCTGAGTCTCGGCCCCTGTGCCTTCCTCCATGGCTGACTGGTGTCCCTCGACCTCCTCAATTGTCTCTCACCACCCACAGTTTGGCCATGACTCTTCAACCAACACTTACCCAGTTTCCCTCCTGCTGCTTATCCAATTCCATGGCAAAAAATCCAGGAACCAGCCTCAACACCCAGGAGGCTGGGCCAGTGCCCCCGCCCCCAGATAAGCAGCCTGGCTGGAGTGGGAGGGGCAGGGCTGGCAGCTTCCAAGACTTAAAGTGGCTGCTGGGGCAGGTTAGGACTGGTGTGAGCTTGGGGGAGCGGGAGGGGAGGCTGAAAGGAGCAACTGGGGAAGGCTGGACCTAGCACTGCCTGTAGCAGGCTCACTGACCCTCTCATAATGGGACCCCAGGGTGGGCAAAGCACTCTGGGATAGGCCAAGGCAAAAAAGTGATGAGAAGATGCAGCAGAGGGAGAGTGGGGTGGGGATTCTGCCTCCCAGGAAACATAAGTACACTGTCCCCTCCCCGACACTGTCTGACCTCTGCCCAAAGGTTCTCCAGACAAACCTCCTCAACTCTGGTCCTCCTCAAACCAATCACCTGGGTTTCTGCTCTCAAGGGAAGAAAGACAGAATCCATTCTCCTGATACACCAGCCAGAGCCCTGGAGCTCCCAGCACTATCTGGGGAATCCCAGAGCCCACCCAGCTCAGATGCCATGTCCAAGACAGCTGCCCAGAGCCACACCCAGCTTGCAGCACCCACATACAACCACAGTCACACAGGCTGGCCAGGGACTGCCCACCCTGTTCTTTCCCTCTTCCCTGCTACCCACACTCCTAGAAGTCCAGCTGGGCCAGGGTGAGTGGCTCCCTCTTTGGTAGAGGCCAAAAGGAGGAGCAGGAGTTTTGTTTTGTTTCTTGAAACAGGGTTTTGCTTTAGGCCCAGGCTGGCCTGGACTGCAATCCTCCTATTTTGCATTTCCTGCCATGGCTGGGTTGACAGGCACGAGTCACAGCATCCAACTCTTGGTTGAGATGGGGGTTTTGTGAACTTTTTTTTTTTTTTTTTTTTGCTTAGGCTGGCCTCAAAATGCAGTCCTCCTGATGTCAGCCTCCTAAGTAGCTAGGATTACAGGCTTGAGTATCTGTGCCCAGCTGACTAAAGCTTTTCTAAAGAACAAGCCTCAAAGACGGAGAGATGGGAGACTTTGGTTCCAATTCCAGTTCTGCCAGATAAAAAAGATAAACCCACTTCCCTTTTGGTCCTCAGCCCTTTCATTCTTGCCTCCTGCTTTTCCAACTGAGAAATGCAAGGCCCCACAAATGTGGTGCATTTTCCAAGAGTGTCATTGTGCTCAGGTGATGTGAAACTTAATTTATACATGTAGAATAGATACAAAATTAGCAAGAATTTAAAATGAAGCCATCAATGGGCTGGAGGCATAGCTCAATTGGTAGAGCACCTGTCTAGCAAGCACAAGGCCCTAAGTTCAACCCCCAGTACCGTCCAAATAAAATAAACTGAAACTTTTGAGATTTCAAAGAAAGTTCTTTAGGTCACAAGGACCATGAGACACTGGTCACTATCCTGAAGAAGCCCAGACCCTGTCCAAGGGCCCCTCCTGTTCTGCCAGCTGGCCTGCCCACTACCTGGCAGAAACCCTGCCTTGGACAGCGGCAGCCTCTCTGGCATCTGCTCACCAGCCTCTCCATCTCCTGCTCCCGGAGCCGCTCTTGGCGCTGTCGCCGGTGGTACTCCAGGAGGTCATCCTCATTGTCACTGATCTCTGTGATGCTATTTTTCCGTTCCCGTGTGACAGGTACCCGCAAGTCCCCACTGGAGAGCTTCCTCTGGGCACGGGGGCTCTGACGAGGGGAAGCTCCAGTAAGAGAGCCCAGACTGTAGGCTGGGCTCAGCCTGCCACTGAAGCTGCCCTTGCGGGGTGCCAGGGACTCCCCCAGTGTGGGCGAGGGGCTCCGGGTCCTGCGGCCCCGCGCCCCCAGAGTCAGGGAGAAGTCCTCTACAGAAGCCCCATGGGCCGCCCAGCGCCGGGGCCGTGGACTCTCTGCCACTTCCCTGGTTAGCTTGGGATCTGGGGTGGTCCGGGCAGGGAGTGGAGAGAGAGCACGTCGAGACAGAGATGGGCTCAAGGGAGGGAGTTCCCGCATGCTGTCCAGGCCCCGCCGGCCCAGGCGGGGACTCTCAGGAGGCTGTAGGGTGCGGGTGGCTGACCCATCTGAAAATGTTCGGCCCACCAGCTGGCGAGAGGGGCTGGTTGTCAACATGCGCTCAGTGCCTGGAGGTTCACGGAAAGGGCTAGGAGGACGGTCCTGGAGTGTGCCAATTTTGTTGCGGGGAGCAGGGACTGGAGACTGGAACTTGGGGCTGCCAGGAATGCTGGCAGGTTGGCCAGGGGCACCAGAAGCTGAGTATTCACTTAGGCTGATCGCCACCACAGGCAGCTGCCCACCATGCCGGGGACTTTCAGTGGCTCTGCGGGCCTCTGCCAAGACTGTGGCTGCAGGGCTGTCAGTCAGCAGACCCCGGAGACCAGGGCTAGGAGGCCTCTCATGACCCCCTTTCCTGCCCAGCCGGGGACTCTCAGAGGAGCGGGCACCACTTGGGCGGGGTTGTGGGGGCTGCAGGGCCAAATGGTAACTGGAGGAACGGGCAGGCACCAGCGGGGGCACAGAAGGTCCTGGCTCCTGCCCACTGGGGGAATGGCTGGCACAGCTTCCACTGCTGGCTGGTGAAGAGAGTGGAGAGAAGGCTGGAGAGGTGTTCTCATAGCTGGAGCCCACAGACATGGCACCAGGGCTGGTTGGGGGGGACAGCAGGTAGCGCCCACCGTTAGCCATTGGTGACAGTGGGGAAGTTGCTGCAGGCTTCTTGCCAGCAGCTCCAGGCTCCTCTAGCACCAGTGAATCCATGATTTCCTGAAGGTCCTTCTCAATAGAGCTCACCAGGGAACTGTGGCTGGCACAGGCTGAAGGTCCCCGGGTTGCAGGCTGTGGAGTGTGGTTGCCATTCATCAAGCTTTCTGATTCAGCTGAGGGGAAACACAAGGAGGCCTCAGGGCCTGGTCTTCAACTTTGGGGAGCCACATAGGCACAAGAGTGAGAGCACCACCTGCCTCTCTTCCTAGTACAGTAGGAGGCTCTGGAGAAGTCATATCTGAGTCCTAGCATCAGCTCACTCTGCCACTGGCCTGCTTTGCAACCTTAGCCAAGCCACCTGCCCTCAGTTTCCCTCTCAGTAAAAGGAAAAGGATGGCTCTAACATTCAATGTCTTAGGACAGAGTAAGCAACAATACCGGGCACTTCTAAGCCTAGTTGTCTAATTGCCCCAACACTACTTCTTCCTGCCTTGGTTTTTCCCAACTTCCTACACCCCTCTTTCAGGAAAGGCAGGTGGACACTCTAGAAATGAGATGGGGATCTACTGTGGAGTTGGCAAGAAGTTCCAGGACATCCTAGTCTACTAGGACACAACCAGTCTCCCAACACAACAGCCAGAGGCCCAGGGGAAAACAAAACAAAACAAAGCCTCCAGGGCTGGGTAAGGAGTGTGTGCTACACCAGTTTGTCCAATCAGAGGCAGGGGAGGGACCTGCTGCTAATGGCTGGTTCCTGTAAGCCTGGCTAGCCAGCCATGCACGAGGTGCAGCTCAGCTTGGTGCCTCCAATTATCCCATTAAGCCAAGCCAGCAAGAGCCTGCCTTTGCCTGGCCCCAGCCCTTGTCAACCAACCAGGACTTTGGAGTCCTAGGAATCACTGCCCAAATAACCACAAGAGTGGCATGGCAAGGTTGTGGGGGTGAGCAGGGTGAAATTAAGTAGGGAGTGAACTGAGAACCCAGGTTTCTGAGCCCCCAGTGGACCAGAAGAGACTGGGGGTGGGAAAGAGAAGACCAGAAAGCCTTTTCAAGACTGAGTTTGGGTCCAAAATTATGGGGACTATGGGACACAGTCAGAGGGGTTGCCATGGATACCAGTGATCCCAGTAACCTCTCACCTTTCTTCAGATTCCAAAACTATACATGGAGGCCACTGATAAACACCCCACCAGCAGTACCTGACACATTGTATCCACCTGCCCTGTCACCACACTGGCACCTGTCATTCCACGGCCACTTGAAGGCAGTGCAGAGTGAAGTGGGATGGGAGACCCACTTCTAGCCTCTAGATCTGCACACCACCCCGGGGCAGCTGGCTGAGGGGCTGTGCTGGTCCCTAGAACAATCCCCGATTCTCCTCTAGAGATCAATAATTCAACACACAAACTGCAGCTGCTTCTCTGAGTCATCGGGGCCTGGCATTGCCTGAGGGCAGGGCAAGGCTCAGGGAGCTGATCACCAGAGGGTGGGACCCATCACAGCTTCCCGGGTGTTCAATCTAATGCTTAGGTCACCCTCCAGAGTGATGCCCCTGGTGGTGACACAGAAGGTCAGGTTCCCTGACACTGAGTGGCATCTTCCAGTAGGGTTTGGGCTGGCAGAACCTTCTATCCCTCAAGGTACATCCTCAAAGGCACGTGATCCCCCAGTATCAGCCAAGCAGCACTGCCTTGGGCCTCGTCCAGTGGCCTCACTGCCTGGCATTCTCTACTACCACTCACGGCAGTGAGCCCAGATCATGGGTACTGATCTAACAATCCAAGAGTGGCTGGAGTGGGCAAGGATGACTGTCTGAGGGGGTACCACCAACCCAGCCCCCTAACCCAGTTGGGTACCTACCAGAGCTAGGGCTGTAGGGGGGCCCAGGGGCCCGGCCCCCTGCTGGAATCATGCTCTTCATCCACTTGGCTTCAGCTGGGTGGTTAAAGCGGAGGAAGCTAGACTGACCCAGGCACAACATACAGCCTGCAGAGAGAGCAATGGCTTAGGAAAGGGCAGGGCTGAAGACACCCAAGCCCACAGCACTGCAGGCTCACTCCCGGCTCCAAAGACATCCCTCCCTGCACTCAGTATCCACACAATGCACACCTCACCTCACCTAGTCTGTCCCTGAGATAGGGCCCTCCAGGGCTCCACGGCAGAGGACAAAGTGGGAAGAGCACAGGCAGGCAAATTCAAAGAACTGAGAACACCACCTAACACCTTTTTTTTTTTTTTCAGTACTGGGATTTGAACTCAGGGCCTACAACTTGCTAGACAGGTTTAAGTCATGCCTTAGGCCCCCCTTTTTTTGCTTTAGACTCTCTTTTTATTTTCCAAGCATCTCTATTTTTTGCCAAGGGCAAAAATATGATCCTCCTGTCTTTGCCTCCCACATAGCTGGATCATCACGCCTGGCTTGCTGGTTGAGATGGAATCTAAGTAACTTTTGTCCAAACTGGCCTCAAACTTTGATCTTCCTAATTTCTGCCTCCCAAGTAGTTGGGATTACAGGCATGTACTACCACTCACAGCTCTAACGTTTGATTTTGTGTGAGACAAGGTCTTACTATGTAGCCCAGGATGGTTCCAAACTCTTGATTCTCCTGCCTCAGACTTACAATTTCTCAGATTTTAGGAGTGCTCCACCATGCCCAATCTAACTCCTCTTCTAACTAGCTGTGAGATCTTCTAATAAAGTCACTTCACCTTTGAGTGTAGTTCTCTCATCAGAAAAATGAGCCAATACCACTGATCTGACAGGGTTAATAAGACCATGTATGTGAAATACTCCATAAATAAAATCATCAGAGAACATGAACACCCAATTTCCATGTCTTCCAAATCCAACACTTGGAGTTAATCTGAAGGCAGCAACTTTCAGAGTCACACACACACACAAAAACAAACCAACCCTTCTGAGATGTGGGGACAAGGGAAAAACCAGGGACCAGAACTTACTCTCTGACTCCTTCCTGTTGTGTGGCCTTAGGAAGGCAGCTGTCCTCTCTGAGAACAGGGAGCAACCACTACCCTCTTTTTGACAAAGCAGTCCCTGGGTGCTCCCAGTCTCCCCTGGAACCTAACCAGGCCTAGGCCACTGGGCCCAGCTTCAGCCAAGCACATTCCCAGACACAAGCCCAGTCCTGCCCAGGAAGTGCGAGTGCATGGAAGGGAGTGGGTGTGTGGGAGCCAGAAAATGTAGCCAGGGGCTCAGGAGTGTGCACAGCAGCAGGTGTGCCCAAAGGCGGCTAAGCCTGGCTGGCAAAATTCCGCCTCCTGGCTACACCAGGTGCTCGAAGCTCCTACAGAAGAAGCTGAGCTGAGAGAAGCCAGGGCCATAATGCTTTCTAGCACCCACCCTTCCAATTTCTCCACACTCCTGGCCCCAGCCTCCTGTCTACCCAATCTGGTGCCACTTGGCACCCAGAATTTCATGCCAGACTGAGCTAAGACTGGCAGGGAAGTCTACATTCCTGGACGCTGAGACAGTTCAGCTCAGGCAGGCCACAAGGGCAAGGGGCATCCCAAGCCACATGGGTACTTTGGCATGCCCCTTACTGAGAAGCCCAGGAGTGTGTTCCTAGGACCCTGGGCTGGCAGTGAGGTGGGAGGGAGGACTAGCAGGCTGAGAGGTCTATAGCAGAAAACTATACTGTACAAAGCCAACCACTATTTGACACACCCACAGGCCCTCCCAAGTAGGCAGCACCAACAATTGTAAAGGCTGATGGGTGGTTGGGAGAAGAGGGGAACCTCCCCTGCCAACTCACCAATCAGAGGAGCAGATCCCATAGTAATCATAACTGGAATAAATAATAGTCAACCATACCATCCACCTAATTACAACCACAGCTGTTTTAGAAAAAGCCAGGCCCCTCTCCTTCCTCTCAGCCATTTAACAAGGTAATTAATGTTAAGTTCCAAGGGTCTAGACAGACCCACTCAACCCTAGGTTCATGGCAGGAAAGGGGCGGTGGCAGACCACACAGTGCAGGCTGGGAAGGAGGGGTGAGAAGTCTTTTTGAGTGCCCAGGCTCACTCAAAAAGGCCATAAGCATCTAAAGACCCTCCACCCAATCCCCTATAACCATGAGGCCCCTGCACTGCCCTTCCTTCACACAGGGGGTGTGGTTATGCTGCCTCTGGGCTATAAATAGTGATGCCAGGCAGCAGGACTGGAGCTGTATTAATAGAGTGGGCAGGAGGGCAGCAGGACGGACAGCAGCCTAGCTCCTGCCCAAATTAACTTTCTATTTGTGTACAGGGGCCCCAAGCGTTGGCCCAAGTCTGGCACCTACTGCCCCCAGGGCCCTGCTGAGTTTTGGGGAAGAAACTCCCTCTCTGCCCACTCCTGCCCACATCTCCAAGGCTTGCTCCCTCCAGAAGCCCAGGATCTCCTGGCCAACCAGCCAAAGTCACGATGTCCCTTTCTCCCCCATGCCCAGAGGATCCAGTTGTGTGCAGGTGAATGGAGGAGCTGCACATCTGGAAGGAAAACACTGGGCAAAGGAGGGTGCATTCAGTCTCTCAGAAGCACAGGGGAGACACTTCACACAGATATACACTTGCACACATACACACTCATGGAAACACAGATTCCCAGGCAGACCTGCTCTCACATGCACAGAGCGGCAGTCACTGCCCTGCTGGCCACACAAATAGGTTGGACTAGCCAAAGGGAAGCTGGGTGAGGCTTGACCCTTCCCATCAGAGACTCCCTTAGCCATAATATAGGCTCCCCCTATCCTAAACAGAAGCCTTTAACCCACTGGGGAGGCGGGTCCCAAGGAGGGAGCTGCCCAGCGATGGAGAAGGTAAGATCCGCTCTGACAAGTGCCCCCAAGCCCAGATGCCCATCAGAAGCGCACAGGACACACACGCCATCGAGTTTCACAACCTCCAGCTCCCAAGGAGGGGCGAGGACACCATCCCCCTCCTCGCGCCCACCCTGCCCAGGACGCCCCTCCCCGTCCGAGCTTCCCGGCCCCGCTGCCTGCGGTTGTGGCTGGCGAGGCTGAGGACTCACCGCTGCACCCGGACCTCCGGACCGATCGGTCCCCGCTCGCCCCGGACCCGCAGGCCCCCGGCCCGCCCGGGGCCTTTGAGGGGGCGGGTCGACCTCCCGCGCTGCGGGCCCCGGGCTCGGAACGAGCAGCCTGGCAGCCAGCAGCCTCCAATGCCCGGGGAGGGGCGGGCCGGCCACCAGCGGCGGGGGAAGGGAGCCAGGGAGGGAGGGACAAAGGCGAGGAGGAGGGGAAGAGGAAGTGATGGAGCAGAGGAGTGCGAGCTGGATGGAGAGGGCGGGGCGGGCGGAGGGAGGGAGGTTGCCGCGGGCCGCCGGCTGGGGATACCGCGCCCGGGGCAGGAGGAAAAGTGGGGCTGGGAGGTCAGGTTCCCGGGAGGTGACGCCGGAAGTTAAGGTGAACGGTAAATACCCTGGCCAGAGGGTGGAGAACCAGGAGGCAGGAGCGTCCGCCTCACCCACAGCCCTCCAGGGTAGGAGGTCAGTGGTGAAAACCTGGGGTCAGGGCCATTGTCACCTTGGGCCAGTCACACCCTCTGGCCTCATTTGTCCACAGAATGAGGATGGCTCCAGGGACCGCAGAGGGCATTCCATGGCTCCGCATATGAGAGAGAGGAGAAGACTGAGGCCCCACTGGCTCCAGCTAGGTCACTAGGTTCACCTACCCTGGCCTCAGCTTGCTACTGTGACAAGGTCACCCTGGGCTGGGAGCTCAGGCCAAGGTGGTACTGTATGCAATGCAGGCAGCACTGAGCTGGCTCCTGTCTCCATCCTCTTTTGGTTCCCACTCCCCAAAGCTCACATCACTGACCCAAGTCTGGGCCAATGCACTGTCCTTTCAGAGCCAGCCTATTTCCTGGGCCTCCAAGCCACAACTTCCAGTAATGCAAAGAGCCCTCCCACCATGAGATACCCCTCCTCTCTTGGAAACCTGTCTCCACAGCCCCCAGGGTCAGGCTGAGATTCTGGGCCATGCTGGTACCTACCACCCAGCTGGGGGTCTCAAATAGTTGCTCTTGTCCCAGGGACCAGACCCGGGACAACAAAACTTTACAGGACACAACACATTCCTTTCTCACAGTCACACCATGTGCCCAGCAGCTCACTCACTCAGCCACAGCCCCTCTGATAAGCAGCAACACTGCTCAGTCAAACTACCACCACCTCAACTGGGCACACCCTGAGCCACACAAGCACCCTCATTACACATGCTTTGTCACACACACTGATTGTCACTTGCACATCCTCTCAGGCCCCAGCCCCCCTCTTAGTTACACGCTCACTCAGGCATCACTCAGGCACAGCTAGCCTTTTACTCAATCCTAAAATAAAAAGTCAGCCTCCTTAGAGAAAGGAGCGAAATTTTCCACTCCTGTTAAAGAGGCCACTGTCCCACCCATTCACACCGGCATACTATACTCACACAGTCACTCACTCACACGTGCACAGGAAACTCATTCCCCTTCTGAAGGAAAAAGGAAGAACCAAATAGGGTCAAATGCAACATGGGGGGAGGCTTTAAAAAACAAGCCTCCTCAGGAAGAGTGATTCATAGTCTGGAAACTGTGATGGCCAGCTGGACAGAGCCAGGCAGACTGAGAGGATGCCCTCCAGTGAGAAACAGGGCAGAAAGCAGCCACAAGGAAGTGGGAAGCCAGGAGCCTTCATTCCTGCTCCCATTCCTTTTATCAGTCTTAGAGAAAACTTGGAGGCTTCTCTCCCAATTTACAGAAGGAATAACTGAGAACTGGCTCAGAAAGGAAGAGGCCCAGTGTCCTGGATCCCAGAGAGAGGCAGCTGGATAACACCCCAGCAACAGTCCTCTGCTGGGCCCCCACATGAGCCCCTCCCTGTCCACCAATGAGGGGCTTAAGAAATAAAGGACACTTAGAGACAAGGGCTGGTAGCATATGGTAGGAGTGGATGGGGACCTACTGTCTAGACAGCTCAGGCCCTGAACTGTGTGGCTTTCTGGAGCCTCCCCTGCTTGGTCCCCTCCCAGATCTTACATGTGGTTTGCCACTGTGGTCCCAGGGTGGGGCAGCCTAGACCCCAGATTGAGATACCACCTCATTTCCTTAATTCTATTCCTAGCTCCACCCTTGTTCTATAGAGAAGAAGGCAGCTTGGGACATTCCAAGATGCCTGGGTTCAGGAGTGGAATTGAGGTCCCCCTGGCACCCTCACTCCATGTTCTCATGTTCATAGCTCTAAGCTAAAGATTGGCATCTGCTTTCTGCCTGCCTCCCCCCTCCCCTGGCCTGTGTATACTCCTGCTAGAAGAGCCTGTCACTGCCATCTCTGCTTGTCATAAAGTGTGTCTCTCCAAGTCGCCAACGGCTGGGCACGATGACCAGAATGATGCTTCTTCTAAGGTCTGGCCCATCCAGAGCGAGCTTCTTGTTATTCCCAAGATACCTCTCTTTTTTCAAAGAGGAGGCTCCTCTTCACAAGGCCAGACAAGGGGAATAAGACAGGGAAAATGGTCCCACCCCCCCCCTTTTTTTTTGCAGTACCAGGAATCAAACCCAGGGCCTTGTTGCATGCTAGGCATGCACTCTACCACTGAGGCACATCCCCAGCCATAAGTAGTCATCTTTTTTCTTTTTTTGGTGGGACTAGGGTTTGAATTTAGGGCTTTGCGCTTGCAAAGCAGGCGCTTACGGCTTGAGCCACACCTCCAGTTATTTTGGAGATGGGGTCTCATGTGCTATTTGCCCAAGTTGGCTTGAACCTCAATCCTCCTGATCTCAGCCTGCCAAGTAGCTAGGATTACAGTCACGAGCCACCCAGTGCTCAGCCTAAAAGGTCCTCTTATAAGTGTGTTCACAGGTAGCCATGTGGCCAATGAATTCTTACAGTACGTGCATAAGCATTTTGGTACTACCATCAGTCCTGGGTTCATCCCCACCACCCATTTGAACACACTGATCCATAAACACAAGGAAAAACACAAACAAACACAGATATACACAAGCCTAGACTCACAAACATATCTGAAGATACATAAACACACTCCAGTTACACAGACACACAGAGATAGCACATGCACCCCAAGCCACCCAGTTTCCAAGGAAACTCACTCCCAAGAATGTCCGGAGTGGGGCCAGGCAGGGCTGGGCTTGGTGCCTTGCTCCAGAGACGAGACAAGGAAACCCTCAGCTCCTGGAGCCCAGGAGGGGGAGGGCTGGGGAGAAGAACACCCATTCCTTTGTGCCTCTGCCTACCCCTCCACAGGCTGCCAAGCCTCTGAGACAGGCGAGCCCAGACAAGAAGACTGGGTGGGGGGGGATAGTTTAGGGTCAGAAAAGAGTGGGAGGGTACATACTTGGCAGGGTGGGCTTCTGGCTGAGAAAGGGGTGTCACTAGGGCCACAGGAAATGCTTAAGAATCCCATCTCCCTTCGTGGCCTCAGGCCCTCCCTCTTCTCAGGGAGCTAAATGATGGGAAGATTGGCAAGGAAGGCATCCACAGCACTGGTTCCTCCATCCTGCTCATGATATGCTGGGCAACAATGTTCTTTCCTGTGGAAGCCATGGGATTTGGGGCTAGGGAGAGTAAGGGCTGGGTTGTCTTTGAACTTTGCCCTGCCTCTCCTTGCTGCTCTGTGTCTCGCCTGCATGCATCTGAATCCTGGAGCATATGCTCTCTCTGAGACTACACAGGACTGTCAGTTGGTGTCACAGCCAAAGCCCCAGATTGTGGGGTTACTCTGATCCAGAGTCAGAGACCCTGAAGCCCTGGAGAGGCCAAGGCCTGCCTGCTGCTGCTGGTAGACCTGCCTTCCTGAGCCTATTGTTCATGCCCTGTCCCCACCCCAAGGGCAGAAGGAAGGAGTGAGGCCTAGACAGTTCCTAGGCCATCTGTGAAGGAAGTAATATTTAAAGGCCCCAAGAACCAGGCACTGGTGGCTTATGCCTGTAATCCTAGCTACTCAGGAGGCAGAGATCAGGAAGACTACAGTTCGAAACCAGCCTGGGCAAATAATTTGAAAGACCCTATCTCAAAAACACACAATACAAAAAAGGGTTGGTGGAGTGGTTCAAGTGGTAGAACGCCTGCCTACCAAGCATGAGGCCCTGAGTTCAAACCCCAGGACTGTCAAAAAAAAAGGGCCCAAGGGGGGCTAGGAGATGGTAGTGGTAAAGTACCTGCCTCGAAAGTGGGAGGCCCTGGGTTCAACACCAGTACAACACAGATAAATAAATAAATAAATAAATAAGTAAAGGCCTCAAGGGGTGTAAACAAAAAAGCTCGGGAGACAAAAGGGCTGAAGCTCTCCTACAAATGGACTTTCAGCCAATAGCGTCCCCAGAAAACAATGCCACTGTCAGCCCTTATGTTCAGAGCCAGGCTTAGCCCAAAGCTCCCATCCCCATGTTAAACTCACCTTTAACCCTTCCACATCTGCTTTTCTCATTCTCCTAATTGGATGATTCAATATATGAATTGATGCCCAGAACCCTGTTTCCAGGGTGAACATACCTGGCCTATCAATGTGCCACCTGGCCAGCCTTTTACCTGCCTGGTAAACATAGTAATTAGGGCCCTTACACAATAGGGCCTCCCTTACACAACAAGAGTGGTAGCCATATTCATGACACAAAAGCTACTGTCAACATTCTTGCAGTAGGAGCAGGCCCGTCCACAGATTCCGCTCTTGCTCCTCCACAGAGGAGGGGGTTTATCCTCCTCTACAGCCTCTCAAAACAACTCCCTGTTCACATCTTGGAATAACACCATTGATCCCCCTTACGGCTGTTCCATTGGTTCTTCCCCAACAACCACAAATGGCCACCCCCAGGCCCTCTGACAGCAAGAGTCAGAACCTCTCCTATCCCTGTGGTGCTGTGGGGAGGCAGGGTGAGGGTGACCAGAGGAGAAAACAGATTGAAGATAAGTCTGGATGCTGGAGGTTTCTGAGATGTTCTTACAACCAGACGCACCTGAGTATGACCACTTAGGCAGTTACCATGGCAACCATCATACAGGCTTCCCTTGTAACCAATATGCACAAGCTCTGAACTAGAGACCCCCCCCCTCATTGTGGGAGTATCAAACCTTACCCTGAGTGAGCCGGGTAGGCTGCCGGACAGGAAGCCCATCAATAGTGCAGACATTGCCACAGGGGTAGAGAGTGAGGGTCCCTCGTAGATTCTCAATGTAGCAGTGCTCTGGGGCCAGGCCCGGGCCCTGCAGTGAGATATCCCTGGCTGCGGAGCCAATCACTGTCCTCCCTGGAGACAGGAGGCAAAATAAGTCACCAGGGTCATCCAGGCTTAGAAGACAGGGATAGGGCAAGGAGGAACATGATGGAAATAAATTTTCATCTCCTACTCCAGAGAGACTCGCTGCCCACCACTGGCCAACCCTATGGGGCCCCTGAGCCTGGTGGAGCCTGTAAACAACAGAAGCTCTTTTTTTTTTTTTTTGATGGTAGCCTACACCTTGAGCCACTCCACCAGCCCTGTTTTGTGTTGGGTATTTTCAAGATAGGATCTCTTGAACTATTTGCCTGGGCTGGTTTCGAATCTGAATCCTCTTGATCTCTGCCTCCTGAGTAGCTAGGATTACAGGTGTGAGCCACTGGCACCAAACTAGAAGCTCTTCTAAGTGGAGAAACTGCCTCAGAATAGGAAGGTTCAGAGAGAGGCTACAGGAGCCAGCCTCACTGATGGCAGAGAAGGGGACCTCTTTTCTGCAGACCTCCCTCTGTCCCCCTAATTATTCCCTATGTACTGTTCCCTCCTCTTTTCTTCTAAGCCTCCCTCTCTCTCCTCTTTCCATCCAGTAACCCTCCCCTTCCTCATTCTCTCTCCCTCCAGTGCAGCCTCTCCCCTCCACCCCTCCCTGGCAGAACCCCTGGAACTGGTATTTGGAGAATGTGGGGAATGTAGTATCACCCAGGCAACAGGTGCAGCCTGGACAGGAGAGGGGAGGGCAGAAGCCACGCCAGGGCTTCCTCTTGGAAGATCATATCCCACTCCCATCTCCATTCTCCACCAGCCTAGTCTCCCAGGCCAGACATCATCCTGGAGTGGACCCCTCTCATCTTCCTTGCTAATGTGCTCTTCTATTTCTCTCAGCACTCTCCTTGTTTCTAAACTGATCTTTAGTCCCAGTCATTAAATGCCAAAGAGGGCAGGCAGTCAGGGGAGGCAGAGACAAACAAGGCCACCATTGCCCACAGCAGGCAGAAGGGCCCCACACATGCAGGGGCCTAGCCTCCAGGTAAGGATAGAGGGGGCAGGTGAGCACCCCTGTCTGCACTTACCTTCCTCCAGCGGCAGGAGGGTGATTGCAGTGCTAAGTCTCCCACTGCCCAAGCTCACCAGATGGGGTTTGTCTGTCTGTACTTTCAGCCCTTTGCCAGTCTCAATCAGGTCCAAGGGTCCTTTCTGCAGGCAGTGGGGGAGGGGATGAGCATCATTAAAGACTCCAGGCGAACACCTAACCATCTTAGTCTCAGACACATCAACACTCTCTTCAGCCCATGTCCCTCTCCAAAGGGCTCTGAGGTTACTGAAAAGCTCAGTACAAAAATCTTATACAGAGTATTATCCCGCTAAATTGTAATTAGATCTGAAACTAGGCCACTAACTTGTCCCACTGGATTTATCTCAAGTCTTGGCTCAACTGACCCTTTTGTCCATTAAAACAGAAATAAGGAGAAAAGAGTGAGAGTGGGAACCCCGTGGGCAAGGAGGAGGAGGCACCATAGCGGAGGCCAATCCAGCCCCTAGCAGAGCTGTGAATGTCCAGGGCTAGCTATGTAGTTGTTGCCTGTCCTTGCTAAACTAAACTACAAAGGTGGGTGGAGGCATGGATCCAGGACAGAGATATATACTGCCTGGGACTATCTGTTAAACTGCTTTCTGACTTCCAAACAGGAGTTTCTGGCTGAACCAATTAACCTGATTCAGATCAAGACTGAGCTGTTAATAGGCTTAAAACTGGAGAAGGGCAGAGAGGAAGAGACTGCTGCTCTATCTTTGGGCTGGGACCATAAGTGGATAAAACAACTGCACCCATCCTCACCAACAGTCCCTTATCCCAAGGCCCCACTCACCTGCACCACAGCCTGGGTCTTGCATCCAGGGCCAACCTGGCTCCTGTTGAGGGTGTCCATAATCCTAGGTCTCCAGGGCTCCTGGGGACACAGCACAAAGCAGGTGAGTTGAGGGGACCAGAGCAGGAGAGGAAAAGAAGTGGCAGGGGCAGCACTATTCACTAGCACTCTCAGCATGTTGTTTTTTTGGTGTTTTTTTTGGAGGGGGGCACTGGGGTTTGATTGCAGGGCCTCACGCTTGCTGGCAGGTGCTATTACTACTTGAGCCACTCCACCAGCCCTCTCAGCATGTTCTTGCTGAAGGAAAAGTAGAGACAACTAAAGAGCTTGGGAGAGTTTGGGGGCGAAGTGATGTCACAGTATGGCCACCACACCAGTCCTGGTGCTTGCCACTGCAGGAAATACAAGCAGCTGTATTTCTGTACTTTCTTGCTCTATACTACCCAGAACCCAGGTCTCAGCAACTGAAGACCCCTCGGCTATCTGGATGGAGCCTTAAGCTTTGTCTACATTAATGAAAGGAATAAAATCCAGGAAAGCCCCTCCAAAGACCCCAATAGCCAGAGAGCCCCCAGATGGGTGCCAGAGCTGAAACAAGAATTCCCTTTCTCCCCGCACTTTGCCTTCTCCTCTTCTCTCTTTGTTTCTTTTCCCAGGGGTCTCAGCACGATGTTTTTTCAAAGAAGACTTAAAGGAAACCCCAGCCATTCTTGCCATCACAAATTCCTCTACCTTTTCTTCCCTGGAAAGCAACCTCACCCAACACAATCAGCAAACAATCTCAATGGTGACTACCAGGAATATAGGATTGTTGGGCTTTGGTTTTTTTTTTTTTCTGTTGTTGTTTATTTTTTGTTTTATTGGGTCTGGGGTTTGAACTCAGGGCTTCATGCTGGCAAAGCAGGTGCTCTACACCTCTAGCTGATTTTGCTCTGGTTATTTTGGACTCTCATGAACTATTTGCCTGGGCTGGTCTTGAACCTCCATCCTCCCGATCTCAGCCTTCCAAGTGGTGCATGGCATTCTTGAACTCTTAACTGGCTTGGTGCTAGAGGAATCTTAGGCCCTTAAAATCAGGCATAGGACAGATTCCAGAGCCAGAACCTGAAACCCTCAACCCACCTACCACCCCATCCATCCTTCTTTTCCAGGCTTGTGTTTTTGGTACCTAAGAAATGTAAAGAAGGACCTTTGTGCACCAATGTGTGTACACATGCCCACCCCTGGTCAACTTGCCAAGATAAAAAACTTCCCATTGGCTGCTGAAATATTACTGGGGAAAACTGAGTGAGGGGATAGATCCAGGAAAGCAGGGATTCACTCCATTTTCTCTTCCAGCCATCTATGACTTGCAAAGGAAGCAGTGTCTGACCCTGGCAGTGGGTCCTAAGGGCCTCAGCCATGGAGTTACTAAATTTACCCTCCCCACTTCCACCCTTCCGGGCTTGGACTGCATCATGTCTGTCACCATTTCCACCTAAGCTGGTGGAAGAGAGGCCGGAACATTGCCTGGAGTCCACCCCAAGTTGCCTGGGAAGAGGGAAGGCAGATGCTGTTAACCCACACCAAGCCCCAAGCAAGCTGGCCTGGCCCCTCCCCAGAAGCCCCGGCCACAGGGAAGAGTTTCCAGGGACAGATTGCTGTACTGCTTCCTTAGAGAAATCGCTCAGCATTTTCTGAAGGAAGAGAACAAGAGAATGGGACGGGATTGGTGAGTTTATGTCAAAGAGCAGGAAAGAAAAATAATAATTGTGAGATGGAAAGATATTGTTTTTAGTGGAAAGAATTTTAAGCTGGAATGTGGGAGCCCTAAATTCTATTTATTAGCTGTAATTATTATTTATTAGTGGTAATATTTTGGACAAGTTATTTAACTTTTCTCATTGTGAAGTCAGTCTTCTATAAAAACTAGAATAATAATAATTTTTAAAAATTGGCTGGACTGGGTTTGCCTGGGGCGAGGGGTGGAATGTTGAACGACTGTAAATAGGCCTGATTTCTTTGAGGGGGAGAGACAGAAATGTTCTAAAATTATATGGTGATGACGGTGGCACAGCGCTGTAAGTACACCAAAAATTCATTGCACACTTCAATTGGGTGGATTTATGGTATATAAATTATGCCTCAATAAAGCTGTTAATATTTAAACAAAAAAGTGGGGGGATGTTGTCTTAATAAATGACTCTGCATGAAGTACAAAGTACTCTTAAAATGCTAGTTGATATAATGAGCTGTGTGACCTTGAGCAAGGCATTCCTTCTTTCTGGGCCTCAGTGTCTTCACCTGTCACACTGGAGTTTTTGTCATTCCGGTGGGCTCATGTATTTACACTGAAGAACTTCAAGTGGAGATAAAGACTGTAAAGGAACCCTCTTACACTGTTGGTGGGAATGTAAACTAGTACAACCACTCTGGAAAAAAATTTGGAGGCTACTTAAAAAGCTAGATATTGATGTACCATTTGATCCAGCAATACCACTCTTGGGGATATACCCAAAAGACTGTGACACAGGTTACTCCAGAGGCACCTGCACACCCATGTTTATTGCGGCACTATTCACAATAGCCAAGTTATGGAAACAGCCAAGATGCCCCACCACTGACGAATGGATTAAGAAAATGTGGTATTTATACACAATGGGATTTTATGCAGCCATGAAGAAGAACGAAATGTTATCATTCGCTGGTAAATGGATGGAATTGGAGAACATCATTCTGAGTGAGGTTAGCCTGGCCCAAAAGACCAAAAATCGTATGTTCTCCCTCATATGTGGACATTAGATCAAGGGCAAACACAACAAGGGGATTGGACTTTGAGCACATGATAAAAGCGAGAGCACACAAGGGAGGGGTGAGGATAGGTAAGACACCTAAAAAATTAGCTAGCATTTGTTGCCCTTAACGCAGAGAAACTAAAGCAGATACCTTAAAAGCAACTGAGGCCAATAGGAAAAGGGGACCAGGAACTAGAGAAAAGGTGAGATAAAAAAGAATTAACCTAGAAGGTAACACCCACGCACAGGAAATCAATGTGAGTCAATGCCCTGTATAGCTATCCTTATCTCAACCAGCAAAAACCCTTGTTCCTTCCTATTATGGCTTATACTCTCTCTTCAACAAAATTAGAAATAAGGGCAAAATAGTTTCTGCTGGGTATTGAGGGGGTGGGGGGGAAAGGGAGGGGGTGGAGTGGGTGGTAAGGGAGGAGGTGGGGGCGGGGGGAGAAATGACCCAAGCCTTGTATGCACAAGGCTTAATAAAAAAAAAAAGACTGTAAAGAAATAAGGTTGCTGAGGCATAAGAGAAGAGAAGGGCAGAGAAGGGAATAAGGAGGTGAAAGGAGAGGGAGAGATAAGGAGAGAAGTGTAGGGAGAAGATAAGAAAAGATGGCGCGATTGCAAGGTGTGAGGCCATGACCCCAGCTCAGAAACCTAATCTACGCGAAGGAAAAAGACACCAAATCAACCTGCACGGGGCGTTCAGAACGGCGGTGCTTTGAAGGAAGGGGCTGGCTGTGGTCACTGAGGCGCCCTCTGCTGCGGCCCCAGCCCCAGCCCCAGCCCAGGCGAATAGCGCTGCCCGGCGATGCCCCGCACTGGCTGGCCCGCTTGGGTCCCACGGGCGGCCACCCATTACCCGGAGCTGTAATTACCACCCTGCTGGGCCCGTCCGGGCCTCCGCTGTCCTTCTGGGAAGCCCAGCCCTGCCCCGCTGCCAAAAAAAAGGCCCCTGCGGTGCGGGTTCCGCTGGCGGGGAGGGGGCCGGATCTTCATAGCCATCCTGCACCCCAAGTGCCTCCTCGGGTGCGTGGGCGCAGAGGCTGGGGTGTCTGGAATGGGCGACTACAGGGAGGATGCCCGCGTGCGGCGACGATGGGGTCCAGCAAGTGACCCCGGCTGGACCCCTCAGATCTCCTCGCCCAACCGGAGTGCGTGGGCAACACGGGACACCTGTCCCCAGCCCTATCCGCCGAGTGGGGCGCCCAGAGCCTCCCCTTGGGGTCTCGGCACCCGAAGGAGGGTGAAGAGAGGCCCGGGCACAGGCCAAGCAGCTCTGGCACCAGCAGGCAGCGAAGGAGGTCCCAATCTCCCAATGGGGCTCACCCTGAAAGGTGCCAGCGCTCAGGTGCTCTCCCGCAAAGCGGGTCGTTCCGGCCCTCACCTGGGTCCCCGGGGGCCAACCGAGGCCTCGTCCCGGGCGTCGCATGGCTGTGGCCGGAGACCTGCCGGGCCGAGCTGGGATCCTCCCGGCCCACTGCAGTCTTCGCCTGTGCTGCGCACATCCGCCCTCGAGAAAGGGCCACGGTCAGAGGAAGGAGTCAGGACGGGAAGGAAACTGAGGCTGAGAGCCCAGAGGGCCGGATGCCCGGGCGGGTTGGGACGGGGTGGGGGTGGGGGTTGGCCCAGGTCCCGGGGCGGGGAGAACTTAAGGATGAGAAAAGTGAGGCAGAGAGAAAACGGGGTCTACCGAGGGTAAGGGAGGGGAAGGGGACACGCAGGGACTTGATATCGGAAATCAAGAGGGAGGCTGGAGGATGAGGACAAATGAAACCTGGGGAGGAGAAGGGGGGAGGCAGAGGAGACTGCGGGGGAGACAGAGGCCCAAAAACTGCGGGAGACTTCACTTCAAGTGAAGGGGGTGACTAACAGGGGAAGACTAGAGACGCACTAGTGTAGGAGGTAGGAGCGGTGAAGGACAAGAGGGCAGACCTGGCCCTAGAGGTGGGCTAAAGAAGAGAGGTGGGCAGCCAGGGGACAGAGGGGACAGAGCCTGGAAGAGCGGGAAGGAGTGTAGTTTCGGGGGAGGGTGTTTTTACGGGAGGGGAGCGCTGGGAAGGAGCAGCCCGCAGGCTGCATGGGGTTCCGCACTCAGAGGCCCCCATCTCCCCTCTAAGTCTGCCCCTCCCCAGGCCACCGGGTGGGACAAGGCCGCAGTGTTGGGCCGCCTGCCGTGACCACCCCCGCCCGCCCTGCCAGCGGGACAAGCGGCCTTTCTTCGGCCAGGCAAGGAGAAGGAGCCGCTTGTTTGCGCTTGGGGGAAGGGGCGGCCCCCGCTCCCGCCCGGCAGCTGCAGGAAAGGGCTGGTGTGTACCGTGGGTGCGTGGGGGTTGCGTGTGATCGCGGTTGCGCGTGGGGGCCGCGTGAGTGCGCGGAAAGATTTCCTTGCGTGGGGCGCGTGGTGTGGAGTGTGTGGAGGTCTAGGCGCGGGTGACGGTTCTGCGTGGTATCGGTGGTGTAACACGGGTGTATATGTGTGCGACGTGTCGTAGGGGCGCGGAGAGGCGAGGCGTGGGACGCTGTGCGTGTGCGCGGTGCGGGTGCCCGACGTGGTGGGACCCCTGCTCGTGTGACGGCTGTGGGGTGAGCCCGCAGTCCGATGACTCAGCCCCGGGAGCCTCCGGGACGGCTGAGCTAACGGGCCCAGAATGCAGCCCCGCCCGGCGTCCTGGGTCCCCTGTCGGGCCAAGTCCCGGCTCTCACCCGCCTCGGCGGAAGCGTCCACGGCGCTTCAACCCGCGCCCCGCGGCCCCACCCAGCCGCCCGCCCGCCCGCCCGCGCTTCCCCGTCCCGGGGGAGCCCGATGACTCGGCCCGGCCTTGGCTAGGGGAAGTCCACAAGGCGTTCGAATCCAGACCGCGAAGGCGTGGCGACAGCCTGCGAATCACTCGTCCTAGGTGCCCTCAAGACGTGGGACTTGGAGGAGTGCCTAGGAGGCCCCATTTGTGCCTCCAGTCTCCTGGACACCCCCACGGATTCCTCTCAGACTCCCATGCCTCGGAGATAGACTCCACATCTCCTTGTCACCAAGGCGGCTAACTGGGGACAAGAGCGGGTCCCCCTCCCCGTGGTCCTGCTGTTGGCTGAAAGGTTCAGTGCGGGGCACTTGAGACAAGGACACGCGCGCACACATGTCACCGAGACCCGACGCGTGTCCATCTGGCCGTCGGGATGCCCGCAGAGAGTGGATCTCTCGAGGCTCAGTGTCCCCACACACACCCGTGGGGAGAATACGAGGGCCCCCTCTGGCGGCAGCGCTCGCAGCGCCTCGGGAGGGCAACAGCCGGCAGTTCCCCTGCAAGCGACGCAGCCAGCTCCCACAAAGCCCCTTTGGCTCGCACGCACTCACCTGGGGGCCTCTCCTTCCCCACGGGTTTCTTCCCAGCTTTCCGGTCCAGAGCTGATCTCGCCCAGCCCGGGGACGTCCCCTTATGCAGCCCCAGCCGCGCAGCGAATGGGACCCGCAGGCATTACTGGAAAGGGACACGCTTACCTAGCGGGAAGAGAGGACACCAGTCTCTACGCCCGGCTCGACCGCGGCGGCCTCAGGCTCCGGTGGACACTGTTGCTTTTCCCTAGGAGCCCGCTAAGTAGGAGGAGAGCGAGCCTGTCCCGCCCTCCTCCCACTAGTCCCCGCCCCCACCCCGTCCTGTCTGCCTGGCCAGCTCCAGAAGACGCCCTTGTGGGACTGGAGCCCAAGGTCCCCCACCCACCCTTTCCTTCAGCAGCACCCCCCCACCACCCTGCCTCCTGAACAGCGTCCGCTTTGTTCAACTCTACAGCTGGACTCTCCACCACCTCCACTAGCACCATCACTACCACCACACAACCTCTCCTCCTGCCCTCCCCTCCAGATTCTCCTAGACCACCCTCCATCTCTCTCTCTCTCTCTCTCTCTCTCTCTCTCTCTCTCTCTCTCTCACTAACTTCCTCCCTCATTCTCTCACCTTAGATGGCAGAAATCTCCACTGGCTCCCGGTGAACCTCCTAGTCGCTGCTCCTACAACTGACTCAACTTTTCCTCTATCTACTGAGCGCACCCAGATCTTCCCCCTATATCCCTTCTTGCTCTATCCCAAGCCCCACCATAAGTGGGCTGGTAACCATCAGGCTTCAGACCTTCCCATGGCCATGGCCAGGTATAAGAAGACGTTAAAGTGCAATGCAAACTGTCAAGCACAGGACAGCCGGCCAGTGGAGCTGTCATCTAGCCCCCTCTAAATCCACTCCCACCACAGACCTGATGGATTACAGGTTAGGAGCCTCCCCCAACAGGCTAGAGCCACACTAGCCTATGGTAGTTTGTGTCTACGATGAGGGGCACTAAACACCTAAGAGTCTGATTGAAATCATTCTCCATCTCCCCCCTTACCCCCCCAACCCCCGAAATCCAATGCTGACAATGGATCCTTACCTTGCAAAGCCAGCTATTGCCCCAGGAGACTGGCTGGGAGGCCCCAGGGAGCTGAACTCAGCTACATTGAGCCTCTTTAAACTGGACTAGAGAGACTGCAGATTTTCCTCACTGAAGAAAGGAGCAGGAAGTCCCCAAGTCTGGCCTAAATTCCAGCTGGGTAGCAGAACATAATTTGTCATTTTGGGGGTAGATGAGTCCTGTTCTGATCTACTGGCTTTAGTTTGTGTCCTCTCCTCTAACCCAGGAGCAGTAGGAGGCTGAACTGCAGGAGTCTGGTCACTCATTGACAGGGTTAGCATTAGCAGGGGGCCCCCATAGTTGATGGCAGCCATGCAGAGGAAAAGAAGTGGGGGTGGAGGAGAGAGGAGAGGTTACTCTCCTGCTACCAGCTCTAGGTAATGGAGGTAGGACATTCAGGTACAGGGAAGATTCAGGATTTGGGGGGGCAAGCCTCTTATTCTTCCTCTCTTCATACTGTTTGAGGCTCATGAAAGTATTATAACTCTGGCTAACCTTTGTGAGGCAGAGTGACAGTAATTTTCAGGCAATTCTGGTGTAAAAAGAAAAAAACAAAGCTCTTGTATTCCATATGCCAGGACCTAGCATTTGAGGAGGGGCTCAGATTGGGGTACCTCAGACTTTTCACTGTTCACAGCCCCCAGCTCCTCTTTGCTGACTTGGTCAGGAGGAATGTCAAGCAATAATCAAGTCTGCCACGGAGGCAGATGGTGCTGGGGCAGGGGGTTGAAAAAGTACCTAACTGTTCTCACTGTTGTACCAACCTGGGGACCAGCTGACCCTACGATCAAGGCTCTGTGCAATGTGTCCCCTCTTCTGCTGTGTCGAGCATTTTATGTTCCCACAGTTAGAGCACTCAGGGGACTAAAGACCTACTGCCCCCACCCCTCCACCCTCGTCCCTCTCCACATCTGGAGCCCATCAACAAACTCAGTGCTCTCTCACAATTACGCAAGAGGTCGAGCAGCTGGGAGCTCAGCGAAGGGGGAGGAAGAGAGAAGAAAGCAGAAAACAGCTTTCCAGCCTGCTTCAGACTTTCCGAGATGGAAGCAGGGGGAGAGGGCAAAGGCTGGGTGTAGAAGGAAGAGTGGTTTTCCAAGGCCCTGGGTACTTGGCTATGAATGTTAGGAGTGGATTTCCACACTCCTCCTGCCTTTGCCTTGGCACGTTTCCCATTTTGTCCCTCCTCTCAAACTGTACTCCATTTAGTCCCAGGAGGTGAATGCTGCTCATATGGCCAGAAGTCCCTGCAATAAATAGTACATACCCTCTCCCAGAAAGCTATCCCTTCCTGACCCCTTTGGTTCCTGAACTCAGGCATCGTTAGTGTAGGTGTGGTGGCAGCAATGAGGCCAAGTAACTCCTTGCTGGATCCAACTTGGAAAAAAGTTCAAACTTTGCCTCAGCAGCTGCAAAGAAGCAGAAGCTCTTTTTCTCAGCTTGTCTTAGAAAAATTGCACAATGCACACTTCTATCCAAATCTGACACAGCCAAGTGGAGTAGGAAATTTGGGTAGGACAGAAGATTCGCCTTGTCTACATCTGTGGCTCAGGACCTCCTATGAGCTGAAAGGCATTCAGGGCTGAGGCTGTAGTTCAGTGGTAGAGAGTATGTTCTGTTTAGCATGTGAGGCATTAGGTTCTCAATACTAAACTAACACTCACTTGAACAAAAGAATGGAAGACAAGACCTACTTCTATTTCTGTCATGCTTTGGATTTGTAATGCCTCTTTCAAACATTCTTGTCTTGGCTTGTTAATCAACTTGATCACACAGGACTCCCAGGAGTTTTTCAGAATTTGATTAAGACTCTTAGGCGCTAACCACTTAAGTCTCTGTCCTATGAACAGCAGGGCAAAAAAACTTTTCATTTCTGGTGGGGGGTTGGAGGAGTGACCTAAGCTTCTAAAAGCTGTTTGGTAGCTTGATTTCTTGTGTTTATGAGAGGAAAACAGCCTGGCTGGGAAAGGTAGTCGAGCTTTCCTAAAGGCCTGCCTCCTATGGGTCACAAACTCCCCAGGTTAAGATAGGAGACATGCTTGTAGAGATGCTATCTGTCCTTGGGTAATAGCGCATAGTAACCAACCTACTTGTGGCTCTTCTACTAACAGGAGTTTTAAGGAAGCTCTAGGTCAAACATATTTACCAAAGGGGGCAAGAGGAGGGAACGGAAGAGGCATGTTTGTGATAAGACAGATGTGCATGGTGAAGGGGTCAGTTCTGAGTTGCTGAGTCTGAGAAGCCTATATGATAGGAAACCCTGCTCTCTACTCTCATCAAGACCCATGTTGGAAACTGGCTGCCAGTGGCTCACGCCTGTAATCCTAGCTACTTAGGAGGCAGAGATCAGCAGGATCGTGGTTCAAAGCCAGCCTGGGCAAATGGTTCACAAAACTAACAAAAAACCAACACAAAACTGGAGCTGGGGAAGTTGCTCAAGTTGTAGAGCACCTGCCTAGCAAGTGTGAGGCCCTGAGTTCAAACTCTAGTACCACAAAAACAAAACAAAAGATCCCACACACACCCCTACACAAACACCCCATGTTGTATCATTAGCTGTAGTTAACACTTGGCTATTGGCTAGTTTAGAAAAAAAAAAAAAAAAAAAGGCTGTATAAGCAGGTTGTCACTGCTTCTAGTTATTTCACTTTGTAAGAATGACTTCTACTATTTTTCCTCCCATCTTTTGCCAGATGTGAGCTTCAATAAAAGGCTATTCCATCTCAACCCTGGGAATCTCTCATATCTACCCAGTGTAAACAACTAAGTTTATTAGAGTGCAAAGGTTCCTGTCAGAGATGCGTTGATAGACAGGGTTCACAACTCCTGTCCAGAGGAGGTACATTCCCTGCCTTCATAAACCCCTCTATGTGGGACTAGTCAATCCAAGGCAGGAACCACAATCCTACACTGATCAGAATGCTCAGTCCCATCCAATTATTTTGCTAATCTCCCTCACAAGAGATCAACAAAAAGTCCACTTGATGCCACAGAGGGATTAGTAGCCAGTCAGGATATATGGCATGACTTTGGTGTTCATTAGATTATGGTTAGAATCTCAGCCAGGTAAACCACACTTCAGCATTATTAGAGCAGACACTTGTCTATTTCATTAAGGAAAAAAACCCAAAAACGTCAAAAAGTCTCGGCCTCCATCACTAAAACTGTCATCCCAGACCCCTATTATCCATTAGGGAGAATAATTTGCCTTGCCTTCCAAACAATTTGTTGACACTTAACACATTTTCCAAGTTAAAAGAGAAATATGAAAGGAAGGCTTTTCCAAGAACAACCAGTTTCCAAGGTGTTCACCACAACTCTGTGGTTCTTTTTTTTTTTTTTGGTGAGACTAGAGTTTAAATTCAGGGCTTTGAGCTTGCAAAGCAGGCACACTACTGCTTGAACCACACCTCCAGTGCATTTTGCTCTGGTTATTTTGGATATGGGGTCTTGGGAATTTGTCTGGACTGGACTTGAACCTCAGTCCTCCAGATCTCAGCCTCCCAAGTAGCTACAACTATAGACCTGAGTCAACACATACAGTGTGACTATGTGGCTCAGACTGGCCTGGAACTCACTCTTTGCTTTTGTGTGTCACTGGGGTTTGAAGTCAGGGCTTTGCACTTGCTAGGCAGGTGCTCTACCACTTGAGGCATCATGCCTGACTTTTGTCTTATTTTTTTGAGGCAGGGCCTCAGCCTCCCAAGTGCTGGGACTACAGGCATAAACCCCTATGCCTAGCCTGCAGTGTCATCTTTAAGGAATAACCTTATGCAGCATCTTGTCCCTTTAGACAGACAGTGCTAAGAAGTAAGTGATCCTTCAAGACAGGCACAGCTGTAAACCTAGCTATTCTGGATGTGGAGATCATGAGGATTATTGTTCAAGGCCAGTTTGGGTAAAAACGTTCAAGAGAGCCCCATTATTAGTAAAAACCTAGGGGTGGGGCTCCAGCCTGTCATCCCAGCTACTTGGAAAGTGTAAATAGGAAGATCAGATCCAGGCCAGCCGAGGCAAAAACTCAAGACCCTATTTGAAAAATATCTAAAGCAAAAATGCCTGGGGCCGTGACTCAAGTGGTAGAGCATCTGCCTGGCAATCATAAGGCCCTGGGTTCAAACCCCACCACCACCCTGGGGCCAGGCATGGTGGGAGTTCTAAGCCAGTCTGAGCTACACAGTAAAACAAAAACAAACAGTGTAGAATCATTTTGACTCTACACTGCTCCTGACAAAATTAAGATTCCAACCCTGCCAAAAACCTTAAGTAGCATAAAAGTTGTGCTGCCAGGAGTGTGCATGTGTATGCTTACATGTACAAACTGTACGAGGAGGCACAACACGCATAAAACAGAGAAAAGCAATGAATACTCTTGGGATAGATTATTTACTCTTAATAGAAACTATCATTAATCTTTAATCTTAGATCCTGTTACAGCATCCTCAATCAGCAAGCAGACACCAAAGTGTGAGTCAAGAGCCCAGTAAACATCTCATTTTATAATACTCTTTATTTGATTAAAGAATTTGCCTTCCTTGTGTACACTGGAATGTTATATTCCCTACATATTTTACAGGGTTACAAAATGTCTCTCATTTTAAATATTACCCCAAAAGTAATTTCAGAAAAAGTTTTTGTGAAATTAAACTTGACTGTTTAAAAATCATATGGACAAACAACTCTCAAACAAAACTGGATTAATAAGATTTCTTGACTACTTAACTACATGACAGACTTATTGTCCCAGTCCCCTTCCTCAGAAAAATCTCATGTGGAAACCAAGCTAAAGTTTCTTCCCTGATGCAGTTAGGGGAAAGGGAAAGGCCAGAAATGTCTTTGGCAAGCAATTCCAGCCATTGCCATTTGTGTGTGACTGCTCTGCTTCATGTGCAGGACACTCTTTGTAGAGTGGGCTAGGAGTTCAGAGCAGGAGTGGTGCTAAGAGTGCAGAGATTATCTACAGTCACCTGCCTCTTCCACTTTCTGGGCCTACACCTTTATAACAATTTGCCTTCCACCCTAGTGAGTGCAATCCTAGGTTAAAAGCCCAGGTTGGGCTGGCTTATGTTGAGTCTCCACTGAAAAAGTAATGGATGAAATGGAGCTGAGGAACAATCGCTACAGGATGACACTCAAAAGGCTTAGGGGGAAGTAAAGAAGGGATTTCAGAGACAGAACGATGCAGTGAAATGCTGGGTTGGTTGGAAGGAAATGGGGTACATATGAGTAATCTGTACATACCAGCATAACCAACTGCCTCTTGAAATGCTAACACTCTAGTGGCAGAGATGGAGTCTCCTGATAGTTCAGGACCGATGGGAAATGGCACAAACACTCACTGAACCCATGGTCTCCAAAATCACAGCCTCATTTCTGTTAGACAAGAGAGGACTGATGACACAGAGAGTAGCCAGGAAGAGGGAGGTGGTCAATTTGAGGAATGTGAATGGATCACAAAGACATTGTGTTTTAGTGCAAGTACCCCAAATGTCGAGAACTAGAAGCTTGGGTAGCACTAGCAGCAGATATGATTATGTCTGGATGTGAAATCCCTAATTGGACATAACCATTTTTCTCCTAGATGTCTTGAGGAGGGGCTGAGCATCTGAAAGTACTTCTCAGTTATAGTTAATATTGACACAAGTGGGATGTACAGTACTGTTCTAAACTGGAAGGGCAGGCCTTAAAAACAACTTAGTAAAGTAATGGAGGAATGGATGGACATGGACAAAAGACAGAAGTCAACCTTATCTTTTAACTTCTAGACTCCATACCACTTAAACAGTTCACCTGTATTGTCCAAATATCAAGAATGGGTTAGATAATCTTGTTCCAGGAGTGTTAAACACAATGCCTATGAACAGATGATCCCAGGGCTTGATTAAATGTACAGAAAGAAAAACTGAAGATAAAGGAAAGGAGAATGAAAGATTAAAATTTATGGAGAAAATTTTAAAAAAACAAAGTACGAAGTACAACTATATCAGGAATTAAAATAAAGGAGCAACTTGGGTGAAGGCAGATGAGGTGTTTACTGAGGGCATTCTCTGGAGAGCTTGCTTTCCTGCTGGCCAGTAATATCTGCCAAAGAAATCAGCAGCCTTTCCCTTTATGTCTGTGTCATTTCTTTGTCAAACAATGTCTCTGTGACACTGAAACACTGGGGGTTAGCTGAGGGTCCTTGCGCGCAGAGAACGTGCACTGTATCAGAAAAAAAGGGTCTCCAATGGCTTGTAAATTTGGAAAAACTCTTCAGCCACTTTTGGCTTCTTCTTTATTAATTTGAAAGTTTTCCTTTTCGGTTCTTTCTTCTGGATATTACAGGATTTCATACTTATCCACTAGGAAAGTGGTCTCTGTGGAAAACCTGACAGGGCTGTTTCCATCTACCTGGGTCACTTTGGTAACCTAGGAAAATAAACAGAGTACGGTAAGGCAAAAGGAAGCTAAACTCAAAGATGCTCTTAAATTCTCATTACAAAATAGATAAAATTCTCTACAAGCAGTATGAAAGTAGCTTAGACATAATAAAAAGTGTTCAATTCACAAGTGCAGCTCACAGCATCACTCTTCCCTACCAACACAGTCAGTCTGCTCTCTATCTACAGGATGACTGCTGCAATGAGATGTAGAGTAGTATTAGCAATAAGTAAACACTCCAGAACGAGCAGGTAGAGTCCAGTGGCATCCTATAAAGCCTATGAAATTTACAGACACTTTATCACAATAATATTTTGACCCCAGTTGCAGTGTTCTATCAAACTCTTTAACATTACTCATTAGATTTGCTCTTATCTATGTCCAAAGCCCTGCCCAGCTGCTCCACCATACTGATTTTCTAGGCATGGCTGATCCTTACAACAAGATTTTTTTTATCTTTATAAATAACAATAAATTGAGTTTAATTAATTACCTGTAACAATGGTGCCTATAATGGCACCAACACAGTAACACATGAAAAAAGCGCATAAACCACTGATTCATACTTTCTAATGAGGTTTTGAGAGAGGAGTATTTTCCCAAACAGGAAAATGTAGCCATTTCTATTTAACCCCATTTCTTGGGCTTAATAGAGTGTCTCCCAATACTGATAAGATTATGCCAGCAACTAGAGGAGAAAGAACTCTTTGGCATCACCCAACAGAGGAAACTGCAACTAAAAAAAAGTATGAAATGTGTATGTAAGTATTTGTGAATTAAAAATAGTGATCTAAAGGAGCAGATTAGGGCTGGCAGAGTGGCTCAAGTGATAGAGCACCTCCTATCAAATGTAAGGCTCAGAGTTCAACCCCCAGCACCAAAAAAGGGGGGAAAAAAAAAAGAAATAGATTAGGCAGGCACAATCACTCACACCTGTAATCCCAGCTGTTCTGGAGGCAGAAATTTGGAAGACTGTGGTTTTATGCCAGATCTGGCAAAAAATTAGCAAGACCTCACCTCAACAATAAGTCAGATAGTAGTGACAAACACTTGTAAACCCCAGCTAAAGGGGACATATAGGAAAGAGGACCACTGTCTAGGCTAGCACAGGAGGAAAACCTCTATCTAAAACATAACCTAAGCTGGGGGTGTGGCTAAAGTAGTAGAGTGCCTGCATAGCAAGCACAAGGCTCAATTCAAACCCCAGTACCAAAAAAAAAAAAAAAAAAGGAACAGATTACACACTTTCATTGCTTTGCTCAATTAAAGGACGAAGTTTAGAACAGAAATGGCTCATGAGAACAATGTCATAAAAATCATTTTCATTTGTATTAGAATCACATTTTTTCTTTTGCAGCAATTTTGTGTGTGTGGTGCTGGGGACCCCCAACTGAGGGTCTTGTGCATGTTAGGCAAGTACCCTACCACTGAGCCACATCCTCAGCCCTTTTGCAGTAATTTTACCTTCTAAATAAAAAATTTTTGGCATGGGGGTGTACTCAGTTCTTGCCTAGTATGCACAAGGCCCTGGGTTGAATCCTCAGCACCACAAATAAATGAAATATAAAACTTTAATTTCTTGGATAAAAACTGACAACAGGCATTATAATGTCATGTGTTAGGTGTTTTAGCAAATGGATTTTAAAATATGTGAGGTTAAAAAATAGACAATTAAGTGCATATGAGTCTTTTGCAATTCACAGTAGTTCTATGCACATTCATATTCAGTTTACTTTGATCTATACAGGAAACACAAGATGAAACAGGTGAGGAATTTCAATGAGTCATAAGTGTAATCTATAGGGGACCTAACCAGCCTTTCTGATTTTTGCTCTTGACATGTACCCATGCCACCTATCAGGCATCTGTCCTATTGCTTCCCCCATATATGCTCTATATTCAAATGTAGTACCTGTATGTTGCAGTAATTTTTTTTGGAGATGAAGGAAACTTGAACAGGGAAGAAGTCATTGGGCTGTCCAGCAATACTAAACTCAAGGCTGCCACTCTTATTTTTGGCATCAATCACGGGCAGGCACCACTCTAAGGTATTTCTCCGACTGTCATGTCGATACTCTCCATCAATCTCACCAATCACAGGTGCACCAACACCGGAACTGTCATGAGAAATGTGGTCAAATTAGGTGTCCAGAGTTCAAAGAAATCCATCAAGGAAAACCAACTCCAAATTTTGATTATGTTCCTCAAATTTTCTAGGAGTACAATTTTTATGCAATCGTACAAAAAAATCAAGACTACCTAATAACTTCAAGGATCAAAGTCCTAGCATCTTGGATAAGGATCTTACTCAATTCCTTTTTAAATACAAAAATACACAAAAACAGGTACTTGGCAGATAGCCCTAGGGGGCTGCTCAAATTTATGGACCAGACCTAGGAGCTTGCAAGGGATTGAAACTGCAAATGGTCAAAGCAAGATATGGCTGCAAAAATCCTGCACCAATGGTTTACTGGCCTGTCAAGAAGCAATTCTAATTCAGTGTAACTCTCTAAATAACAATGGAGAATAAAACAGGTTGATAATGGGGGGGGGTACTTTAAACACCAATAATGGAGATGAATTTGGGTCTTTGAGAAGATTTATTTTCAAGAGTTTAGAATGGTTCAAACTGAATGAAGGTGATAGAGCTAATGCTAGTGGGTTTGATTTAGAATCCAGTAATAGGACTTTATTTGTGAAAGCATAATTATCCCTGAGTAAAACAGAAATATGATGAGAAGAAGATACACAATTGTCTTTATTCTGCAAGAGAATTGGGGCTAGTTAGGATGTACTTTGTACCCCCACACTTGGCTGACATGCAGTGTCACCTACTCCTACACATTCTAAATTTACCATCTTTTAATTTACCAGTGACACTCAGTGCTTGCATTAGGGGCAGGGTAAATAAGGAAGACAAAATTTTAAGGGTGGTGTAAGACTACTTATTAACTCTTTCCTATCAATTTTATGGCCCTGGTTTCTCTTATTCTTTCTCCTGCTCTGATTTTTTTCTAATTGGATCAGTTCGAGACAGTGAAATAAAATTTTGTCTAAATGTTCTCTTCTAGAGACCATTGCAAAATTGAACTAAGATACAGGAAACTACCACAACCACAATTACAGGGTGGATAGAAAGGCCTAAAAATTGTGGCATCCTAAAAATAGTCTAGCAAAATAAATCTTGACAAACAAAACCCCACCTGTCATCAACACCCAAGTCTACAATGGTTCAAGGCAGCCATCTATTGTTCTGAAAGAATATCCAAGCTGTGAAGATTAAGATGGTTACCCTATTAAAGGGGATATTGGTAATATAGCATTTATTGATTTACTGATTTTTTGAGAAAGGATCTTGTTGTGTAGCCCAAGCTGGCCTTGATTCTCCTGCCTCAACCTCCCCAGTGCTAGGATTATAAGCATATACCACCAGACTTGGCTTGGTAATATAGCATATTTTAAGAAATGGAAGGAAGACTGACAAAAACTAGAACTTGATCATATAGAGACCTGAATTATCAAAAAGGGAACAAAATAACAAATTAAGTTAGTATCATTTTCCCTGCAATAATAACTGAACAATGTAACAGTAAAGATGCCAGGCACCAGTGGCTCACACCTGCAATCCCAGCTACTCAGGAGGTAGAGCTCAATGGAGGATCATGGTTTGAAGCCAGCCCTGGCAAACAGTTTGAGAGAATCTATTTTTAAAAAAACCCATCACAAAAAAGTCTGGTGGAGTGGCTCAAGGTGTAGGCCCTGAGTTCAAATCCCAGTAGTGGAGAAAAAAAAAAACCCATAAAGATATTCTAAGAATAATTAAATCCCACACTTAATCATGTCAGGCCTGAAGGGTTGAGGAAAGGAGCTAGGATTTACTGGTAAAATAATGTAGTCCATAACCCACTGGAAATGCTTAAAGAAATAAACTTAAGGTAGAGAATACTTCCAGATGATTCCAGAAAGCAGGCTATTTCAAGTACACAACAAAAAAATTATCAGAACTAAATTTTGGGAACTGGCAGACATTTTTGTTATCTTGGTTGTATTGATGATTTCACAGGTGCATACATGCAAAGCTTATCACGCTGCAAAATTTAAATATATGTAGTCTATTATATGTTAATTATACCCTAACAAAGCTGTTAGAAAATTTACTGAAATGGTATGTTGTTTAAGCAAGTATCAAGACTTTCACTGAACATATCTTTAAGTAAAGCTTAGAAAGCAAGTAAAAAATAAAAATTCAGTCTAATAGACTTGGTTTCTCTGTAAGTTTTAAAGCAAAACAGAAGCCAGGCACTGGTGGCTCACAATGGTAATCCTAGCTACTCAGGAAGCAAACACCAGGAGGATCGAGGTTCCAAGCCAGCCCAAGCAAATAGATCACAAGACTCTATCTGGAAAAAACCCAACACTGAAAAGGACTGGTAGAGTGGTTTAAGTGGTAGAGTGCTTGCCTAGCAAGCATGAGGCCCTGAGCTCAAGCCCCAGTACCACCAAAAAAAAAAAACCCAAGCCAAACAGAGAGTTTGACTGAAAAGGGGCATGTCCTTCTGAAAATACTCATTACTACATGAACAAGCTGTTTCTGAAAAACAGCTTCCAAATTACAATTGGTTTGTTTGTATGGTTTGGTTTGAAAGTCAGTAAAATCCAAGCCTTTCAAAGTGTATAACTCAATGCATTCTGACAAATGTGTATGATCTTGTAGTCACCACTAATACAAATCATAAAACATTTTCAGAATCACCCCTCAAAAAGTCTCCTTCTGCAGGTTGTTGAGTGTGACTCAAATAACAGAATGCCTGCCTACCTAGCATGATTCAATCCCCAGTACTGTCAAAAAAAAAAAAAAAAGTTCCCTTTTCTCCTTTGCAGCCAAGTACCTTCCTCTCTACCTCCTGATTTCTGTTTGAAGAGTTATTACCTTTTCCAGAAAGTCACAGAAGTGAAATCATACAGCTGATAGGCACTGAGCTTTTTAAAAAGTAAGTATCAGAGCAGAGGACACAGCTCAAGTGGTGGAGCTCTTGTTAGCAAGCAAGCACAAGGCCCTTGGTTCAATTTCCAATACAACAAGAAGAAAAAAAAAGCAAGTTTCTTAGAATAGATAGTAAGGACTGCCTCCAAAACAAGTTCCAAAAGACCAGTTCAATAAGTTAATGGAAGGAACTCCACTTACGGGAGTGGGATGGTGATAACCACGTCATTCAGTTCTAAATTATCTTCCTGTAGCTCATATTCTATGTTGACATCACAGCCATTTCCACTCTCCGAGGGCCAGCAATTAACTGAGGACAAAAACATAACATCAGAAAAAGAATGGAATTGCTTCTTTGGTCTAAGATCAAGTGTAGGAAAAATTGAAGGAAAGCTGATGGCAAATCCAAGCTGACTGACAGCTGCAGGCCTAAAACATCCTAATGTAAACTATAAAATAACAATTTCAGCCGGGCGCTGGTGACTCATGCCAATAATCCTAGCTACTCAGGAGACAGAGATCAGAAGATTGCTGTTTGGGCAAATAGTTCCCGAGACCCTATCTTGAAAAAACCCATCACAAAAAAGGGCTGGTAGAGTGGCTCAAGGTATAGGCCCTGAGTTCAAACTCCAGTTCCACCAATAAATAAATAAACAATTCTAAAATTAAAATTGCTAAAAATTAAAGCAAAGGATTAAAATATACGAAATGTTCTGAAAAGTGGGTCATTTTGTCAAAAGAAGTTTGCTGTGGCAATGATAAGACAAGATAAGCCAGGCCTATTTCTAGTTCTCAGTGTAAATGAGCACAGGGGAACTGGCCAGGGCACTTACTTGTCAATGGAATCAAAGATTCTTCTGTGGTTTGTAGTCTCCACTTTAGCACTCCTACATCACTATTGACTGGAAAAGACTTCTCCGGATTCTTCAGGCCAATTAGAGACTCTGCAGTGAAGAGCTTTTTATCCACATTTGGATGGGTCTGGAGTGAAAAGGGAAGGAAAACTGAGGCTCAGAAATGATGAAAGGAGTGGCGGGGAGAGGGAGGGGGCGGAGTGGGTGGTAAGGGAGGGGGTGGGGGCAGAGGGGAGAAATGACCCAAGCCTTGTATGCACATATGAATAATAAAAGGAAAAAAAAAAAAAAAAAAAAAGAAATGATGAAAGGAAATACATCTTCCTGTGCTTACATGGCTCACAATCTAAACATCTAAAATAAGGTAATTAATAAATCCCAACTTTTTTTGGTTTTGAAGGAAGATTTACCTTCTTCAAAAATGTAAGACATTTAGCTGGACATAGTAAGACCCTGACTCAAAATACAAAAACACCCCCTCTCCAAAACCAACCCAGGAACAAGTTTATAACTAAAAAAAAATTACAGACCAATGATAAGTCTTTTTCAAAACTACTTCAAAAGGAACATGCTCTTAATGAGGCCAGACTCGCCAAGCAGAAAGTGGGGTCAGACACTAATACTAATCAGCTGCCTGGGTCAGATATTAGCCCTGGTCTTATGTAAACAGATGAGAGGGAAAAGCTTTGTGTCAAGTTTAGTCTTAAATTCATCTAGAGAGCTAAAATTGTTCAAACTCAGGACAATTAAAATAGTCTAATCTTTTTTTTTTTTGGGGAGGACAGGGTCTCCTATAAAGCCTGAGCCGGCCTTTAAAGATTCTCTTGCCTCAGCCTCCTATGTGCCATCACACCCAGCTAAAATAATCTAATCTTTTCATAAGAAATAGTACTAGTAGAAAAAAAAGAAAAAGAAGCCATTTTTGGATATCAATTTACATACACTTTAGCAGCCAGCAAATCTGCTTTCAAATAATGTAAGTACAACTTCCAAAAGAGAATTCTATGTTGGTTGAAAAACAGACAAGAAACACTCTTTCCTGAAAAAGGTTCTCTTATCACAAGAGGCCTAAGATCAACCACCTACATAAAATGTGACAAGAACTGTGTCAGGTGTGATGGTACAAGCCTGTAATTCCAGCTACTCAGGAGGTATATGCAAGATGATCTTCAGTCAGGCATGGTGGCTCATGCCTATAATTCTAGCTACTCTGGAGGCAGAGATCAGGAGGAATGCAGTTCAAAGCCAGCCCCAGGCAAACAGTTTATGAGACCCTATCTCAAAAAAACCCATCACAGAGTGGCAGAGTGGCTAAAGCAGTAAGAACGCCTGCCTAGTAAATGTGGATCCTGAGTTCAAACCCCAGTGCCGGGAAAAAAAAATTTTTTTTTTTTTGAGTTTGGGCTAGGGTGTGGCAGAAGTGGTGGAGCACTTTCCTAAGTACCTAAGTACAAGGTCTTGGATGCAATCCTCAGTACTGCCAAAACAAAACAACCCAAAAATAAGAAGGGCTCAAATATATTCAATACTTGGAACACATGTTTCTTTGGGGGAGGGTGGTACTGAGGTTTGTATTTTGTAAGGATGTTATGGATTTTTCAAGCATAGATACTACCATTCAGCTAACAAAACAAGCACTGGCAGTTTATAAAGCGGCAGAATGCTTAAATTTAGTATCAAATCTGCTTTAATACCTTCTTAAATTTTAAAATCTCAGATTTGTTCTGTTTTCTAAGACAGGATGTCTCCATGTAGCCCCTACTGGCTTGGAATTCACAGTCATCCCACATCAGCCTCCCGAGTGCTGGGATTATAGACTTGAACCACCATGCCTGGATAAAACCTTGGGGGTTTTTTTGTTTGTTTTAAAACTGTATGTCAAGGATAAACTATTTTTTTTTTCCAGCACTGGAATCTGAACTCAGGGCCTACACTTTCAAGTCAGTCCACCAGCCCCCTTTTTTGTGATGGGTTTTTTGAGATAGGGTCTCTTAAACTATTTGCAGGCTGGCTTTGAACTGTGATCCTCCTGATCTCTGCCTTATGCTAGGATTACAGGCATGAGCCACCAGCACCCAGCTAAGATACTAAGATAAACTATTGTCAATGAGTATGAAGTCATCTATTAAATTTCAAAATGATCTTTCATTTACTTCTAGTATTAAAAAGCCACTGTATATGTACAGTCTCCCCTATTGTCACCCCCCCCCCCGCCGCAAACACCTTCTTTCCTATGCATCCAGAATGGCATTAGCTATATAACTCAAATAATTTTCTGTGTTCTATGCCTCACATGACTGGAAATATAGCTCAGTGGCAGAACACTTGCCTAGTGTTCTTGAGGATCTGGGTTCATCCCCAGTACTGCAAGAATAAAAAAAAAAAGAAAGAAAGACAACCACTGCTAGGTAGACAGGTCTAAGTGCTCTGTATCAAAAGGCTCTACGCACTTGTAGTTGCACTCCTTTCTTATCCTCGTTTTCCACGTGAAGACGAATTCGGCCAAATTTGTCATCTGAGATCCTAAGCATGATCATGCCATGTAATTCCATATTCTGTAATCCTCCATCTCGCCCACAGGTTAGTGTGATCTTTTCTTCAATCTTCATATGCACACTACAACAAGAATGTAACAAGTCTGTTCAGAAAGGTAGAAACCAGAATGTTTTTTCCCCAGGGTTTAATGGGGATTAGCCATCAACAACTTTTTTAAAAGGTACTATTTTTGCTGTAGAAATTAAAGTATATACTTTTCAATCCAGCAATTCTTCTCTAGAATTTATTAGAATTTATCTTTTATCCTAAAGATAAATCCTCACCTGTGCAAAACAACGTACTAAGTTTATTCACTGTGTTTGTAATAGCAGAAGTTTAAATGTCCATGGAGTTGAGGGTTGCTTAAATACAAAAAGTATAACTACACAGATGAATACTACTAGGAAGCTATGAGGGGAAAAAAAAAAGGAAAAAAAAAATTTTCTACTTGAAAATTTCAAACTTTTTTAAAAAATTAAAAATTATACAAAAAATACAGATACACCCTTTACAAATATTTACCTGTTTTTAACTTTTTTTTTTTGGTCTGGGAGGTGGTGTGTGGAGAAACGGTACTGGGGTTTGAACTCAGGGTCTTGTGATTGCTAGGTAGGCACTCTACCGTGTGAGTCACACCCTCAGCCCTTCGTTTTAGCTAATTTTTGGATAGGGTGTCGAGTTTTTGCCTGGGCCAACCTCAAACTGTGAACTTCCTACCTGTGCCTCCCTGTAGCTGAGGTTACAGTCATACACTACGATGACCTATTTCTAAACACTTTATCCTATTTATTTTATCATTTGCACATGCCTATTTTCTCTCTAAATATTATATGTTAGGTATGCATTTGATTTTTATAAACATCTTAGCCCTTTACCCCTAAATACTTTAGCATATATTTTCTAAGAATAGGGATCTTCTTGGGCTCATTGCTAAAGCCCCTGCCTAGCATGCATGAGGCTGAGTTTAATCTTTATCACCACCAAAAAAATAAAACAAAATTTACAAATGAAAAGAAACCTACAATGAAATTAATACTTTTATCCACTCTGCCAACCATATGCCAATTTTGTCAGTTGACCTAATATCTTATTACAGGACATAGTACAGGATTCAACCTAGGATTTGACATTGTGATGTTATGTCTCTATAGCTTCCAATAAGATATGGTGTTCTTTTTTCTTTTTCTTTTTTTCGCCTTCCTTCCTCCCTTCCTCTCCTTTCCTTACTTCCTTTTTTTTCTCATGTGTGCTCGGGATCAAACCCAGGACCTCACACATGCTAAGCCAAGTGCTCTACCACTGAACTGCATCTCCAGCCCTCAAATAAGGAAATTCTTACCTCCCAATTAATGAAAAATGAAATTACAGAATATGTCCAGTATGCTGCTTTGTATAAAAAGATAAAATAAGGATATGTTTTTATTTATTTATATACCATTGACAAGTCCCTCAAAAGGACATATAAAAACCAAGTTAAGCCGGGAACAGTGGCTAACACCTGTAATTCTAGCTACTCAGGAGACCAGGAGATCAGGAGGATCACAGTTCAAATAATCCATCACAAAAAAGAGCTGGTGGAGTGGCTCAAGGTGTAGGCCCTGAGTTCAAACCCTAGTACTGCCAAAAACAAAACCAAGTTAATATTAGTTGCCGCCACAATGAAAAATTTGCATAGCTGGGTGGCAGGAAGACTTTATATATCAAGACTTTCGAATCTTTTAAATTTTACTATAGGATTGTGTAACTTAAGAATAGTAAAACTACAGAGTGCTGCTGCTATGGGCAATTCTAACAATCTACCCATATTTATTCTGTAACAGAACTATAGTTAGTTGGGTGAATTGAGATGCTACAAAGAATATTTTGGTCCCTTACTTGGTCCTTTGTTCCAATCCTTAGGTCTTCCCAGAAACAAAGGCCTCAGACTCAAGAACACAAAGGTCTATGACTTAACTCAATGCATGGTCCCACTTCACCTTCCAAGAGTTTGCTCTGTACTCAAGAGGTACTTCATTATTTAGAAAAGAGTCTTAAGCTTTCTAATATGTGGTGTCGCCATGTTTAAAAGTTGATACCTCTCGTCTCTCTCAAAGCAACCACTAGGAATAACATAGGTACTTTGGTGAGTCAAGAGATTTATACAGATTTAATTCTGTTCACTTGATAAAGAACAGGACACATAAAGAGTAAATATTCTCCTTTTACATACACCTGACAGAGGTATCTTTCCAGACTCATCTTTCACTTGACCTCAAAACCATCAGCAATAGTAGAAGGTCTGGGCTTCAAGACAAGAAATCTGAGTAATGAATATGTGAACTTAATTAACCTACCTCTTCAAAATGTCACCAACCACTGCTTCAGCCCTGAGGTAGAAGACAAATCAAAATACTCTACACTGGGACTAAGGATGTAGCTCAGTGGTAGCTCTCCTAGTATATGCAAGGACCTGGGTTTGATCTCAACACAAGGAAAAAATCACCAAACCAACCAAACCACACAAAAACAACAATGGCAACACAACAAAACACTCTACACTAGATTAAATACTTAAAAGGCAAAATGTTAATTTGCTGTTAAAGATATTTATGAGTTTTGGGTTAAAGACTGGCTCTCTTTAGAGTTTAACTAGAAAAGACATGTCAAAATATAGTATGGAGTTATCATTGCTTTAGTTCTCTAACCAAATACATTTTAAGAGACAAATTACATACAAGGCATGAAGACAAGTTATTTTTGTCTAATTTATCTGATAAAAAGACAAGTTCTAAGCTTCACAGAAAATAGAAGTCTGTGAGCCCCCAATCATGGTTAAAGGAAAAAGTCCTTGTACTAATATAAGGAATATGTTCAGAATAAATCTTTTAAATCAGGAAAGATTAAAAGGCACACAAAAAATGGTTTGATCCCAAGCCAAAAAAAAAAAAAAAAAAAAAAAAAGCACAAAAGAAATTTATAGCATATTGAAAGAACTTAAAAAAAAATCAAAGAACTTAAAAAAAAATCATAAATCATATCATCTGGCTTTACTGAAAAAGTTATTTACCTTTCCATATTAACAGGTGGTGTGTGCACTTTGGTTGCTTCAGAGGTACGTTTGCCCATATTAGAGGACACGATAGTTTCACCTTCAGATTTCAATTTGTCCACAAAGTTATCTACTTCCTTTCCTTTGGCTCCAAGTTTCAAAGCCTTGCTGGGGCCTGAAGGCCTAAGTAGACAACCATGAAGTAAGAAAACATTCGTGAGAAAAATGCAAAAAAGCCCAATTATTAATGACCCCGTATCAACAAAGCTTTTCCTGAAGCTATTTTTTAAGAACACTTTTTAAGAACTCAAGGAGAAAAGTCAAGATTTCTGGCACTGGTGGACAACTATACTACTGATGATCTAATATGAATCTGACCAAACTAACAGTCATTATCATCACTATTTTCTTGGGGAGTGCTGGCAGTTTATATAGGGTCTTACTATGTAGCCCAGCCTAGCCTTGAATTCATAATCCTCCTCCTTCAGCCTTCTCAAGAGCTGGGATACCAGGGTTTTGTTTTTTCTTTTTCAGACAAGGTCTCACTCTGTTGTCCTGGCTGGCCTGGAATCTGCTAAGTAGCCCAGGCTACCCTCAAACTCCATCCTCCTGCCTCAGTCTCCCAAGTGCTGGGATTACAGTTGTGTGCCACCACACTAGGTGGCAGCTGTTATTAGTATGTAAGCTTCAAGTACCCAAGACCAAAGGGTATATTATAATTACACATAGCTAATAAAAATTCTGTACCTTCCATCCAGATAAATGTAACTACGTATAAACAAAAGTTAGCTGGTAATTTCAGGTAGTTCAGCGATTCCTCTTGACACTGAGATTAAAGATCCACATCCTATAAATATCCCCTCTTTTCCCCAAATAAGACAAAAAACTAAGATAATTCATAAAAGAACTCCTTTTTTACACAAAAGGGAAAACACCATTCAGATATCTCCTTTATCCCCATATTTTATGTAGCCAACTTTAGTATCACACCTTATTCCTCAAGTCCCTCATTATTTATAGCGTGCCTAGAAATCATATATCAGTCCAAAGACACATACAATATAGTCTTCCCCTGGCATCCTAGGGTTACTGGTAATATACTGGATTATACCTGGCTGGTGCAGGTGCCACTTTGGGTTTATCAGTTTCAATGATGGTCTCTGTGATCATGGCAGCTGTGCTCCCTCCAGATACCGCAGAGCTACCAAATCCCCCAAATCCTGGTGCTTTTTTCCCCTGTCTCTCTGCATCCCTTCGGGCCTGTTGTAATTCCTTTGCTTTACGCCGCATCTCAGCCTTGGCTTCACGTTCTTGAGTCTACAGAAGGACATATGTGGATGTGGTTTTGAGTAATGTACACTAATTAGTAAGTAAAATCAGGAAAATAAGATTAGTGAAGGCTAAGAGAAAGACATTCAAACTGGCAGAAGACTCCACTTACCTCTCTGACTGCTCTGAACACCTTCTCCTCATGAGAATCCATTTCTGTGAAGGTTCTGATCTGTGCCAGGTTAACATTCTCCCGGTATCCCAAGGCAACAATTTCATCAAAAGCAAAAATCAAATCAAAACAGTGCTCAGATATTTCATTCTCTTCCAGGGCTCGGCAATATTCAGGGATCTAATCATGGGCAGCAATGGAAAAGAAAAACTTAGAATATATCACAGTTATGTTTCTAACTTTTATTATTATTTTTTTTTGGTGGTACTGGGGTTTGAACTCAGGGCCTCACACTTGCTAGGCAAGTATTCTCCTACTTGAGCCACTCTGCCAGCTCTCTAAGTCTTATTCTTTAAAGTACATGAACGTCAAAAAACCTAAATCCCTTCTTAGTTCCTTCTAGTCTTTATTTTAAGTAAGACTTTTGGCTTAGTTTGTGTGTATGTGTGTCCTACATAAAAAAAGCAAGCATGGCCAAACAAGTTTCAGAAACACAAAGGCAGATTTGAGTAACTACTTAAGAACTACATGAAAGAGCAATTCCTGTATTCTTGTTTGAAACATAAACTCCCCAAAATTTTGTCTGCTAAATGACTAAGGAGCTGCAGTGGCTGGAGGTGTAGCTGAGAGACAGAGCATTTGCTTAGAATGCTAGAATGTGCAAGGTTCTGGGTTCTTTCTATCCCCAGCACCACCCTTTCCACCCACTCCCCCCAAAAAAAAGAAAAAGGAAAAAAAAAAAAATCAGGAGTTACAGGAACAAGCCACCAGTATCAGTTGCTTTCGAGGATAAATTAGTTTCACACACACAAAAAAATGTAATACAATTAAAAGTGGAATCCAGAGCTACAGAATTCTTACCACTCTTGAGAAGAGCCTTAGGGTCTCCAAATCTTCTAAAATGTTGCTGTTTTTGGTAGTGATCAATACCATGTACAGTTTTTCCATAGGCTGGTAGACATATCTTACACTCTCTGTTTCAACAAATGTATGTTGTTTTCCAGTGTTCATGAGTTTTGGAAAAGCTGCTAATAAACCCTCAATCCGAGTTCGGGTCATCTCCACAAACTGTCGAGAAACAATAGCCTTTCCTGCTTTTGTGCAGACTGCTGCTGCCAACAGCACCTGAGAGAAACATACACATAAAGTACTAATTAATTACTTCTTCACATCTCTCAGGAAATCATCCACAGAATGACATTTTCAGTTTTTCATAACATACCTAAAGAAAAACTCAGTGAAGAAATAATTTTTGGACATAACTCCCCCTTGTTGGGATCTGCCAGGCTCTCAAGGCCCTCATGCTCGCACATGAACTTCTTAATGGAGCCAGCAGAGGGGAAGAAGAACCCAAGAGAAAGAAAAGCAGGAAAGATGAAGAATAGTGTTTTCCAGGTATAAACACAATGAAGGTTCTTAAAAAAATTAAAAATAGAACTCCCATATGATCCAGTCATACTACTTCTGGCTATATACACAAATGATCAAAGTTAGCTTATGATAAAGACACCACTATAGACCAGGTGATAGTGGCTCATGCCTATAATTTTAGCTACCTAAGGGGCTGAAATTGACAGGTTCAGTTTGAGGCCAGCCCAGGATACTAGTTTGCCAGATCTCATCTCCAAAATAACTAGAGCAAAATGGATTGGAAGAGGTGTGGCTCAAGTAGCACAGTACCTGCTTTGCCAAGTGTGAAGTCCTGAGTTCAAACTCCAGTCCCACCAAAAGGGAGGGAAGGAGAGAGGGATGGAGGAAGGGAAGGAGGGAAGGAAGGAAGGGGAAATTATATAATTTTCTGAAAAAAATGGATGAAACTAGAAGCCATCATATTAAGTGAAATAAGCAAATCCCACAACGTATCACATGAGAAAAGAGTAATAATACTCTTACGTATTATTACATAAAATAAGTCACGTAAGAAAAATTAAGAAGGGTAAATACGATCAAAGCACATTACTTGCACGTATGGAAATATGATGAGACCCCTCACTACGTACAATTTCATATCTGCCAATAAAAACAAAAAAAGATTATATATTTAGGAAACAAGAAAAAAAAAAGTGTTTCAGGTATACCTGGAAGAGACAAAGAGAGAACTAGGGCTGGAGGAGTGACTCAAGTGGTAGAGTACCTGACTAGCAAACTGGAGGCCCTAAGTTCAGACAAAATAAAAAAATTAATGGGTGAAATACAACATTTTATCAAGCAATCTTGCAAAAGCTGAGAAATAAGGAGGAAGATAAGAATTACAAAGTTTCAAGGTTGGAGGGAGGGAGAAAGGAGAATGACAGAAGGGGTGAATTCAACTATGACATATTATAAGAAATTTTCTAAATATCACAATGTACTCCTGGTGCAATAACAAAAACAAAACAATCAAGATTAAAATATTTCTTCAGGTTGGAGAAAATGGAAGCAAAATAAGATTTGAGTTATAAACATTTTCTCTGTTGATAGATGGCTTAAATGCAGATTGTCTCTATTTCTATCTATTTGTAATTCTCTTGCTCTGAATACAAGCTTTTAAAATCCCTTCCCAGGTGCTGGTGGCTCACCCCATAATCTTTGAGGCAGAGATCAAGATGATCGTTGTTTGAAGCCAGTCCAAGTAAATAGTTCCGAGAGACCCTATCTCGAAAAACCTTTCACAAAAAGAGGGCTGGTGGAGTGGCTCAAGGTGAAGGCCATGAGTTCAAGCCCCAGTACAAGAAAGAAAGACGGAAAGGAAAGGGAAGGAAGAGGGGAAAGGGAAGGAAGAAGGGGAAGGGAAGGGAGCAGAGGAGAGGGGAGGGAAGGAAAGGGAGGGGAAGGGAGGGGAGGAGAGGGAAGGGAAAAAAATCCCTCCTCCGTGGGCTGAAGGTCTGGCTCAAGTGGTAGAGCACCTGCCTACCAAGTGCAAAGCCCTCAGGTTCAAATCTCATATCATCAAACTCCCCACTCCATCCCCCAAAAGAATTTTGAGCCACCATGCAGAAGGCTCTGGGTTCAACCACCAGCACCCCCCCCCCACACACACACAAAACAGTAATTTTTTTTCTCATTAATGCATCAAGTATGACTTAGAGTTGGGTTACTCTCAGCTTTGGCACACCCATAAAGAATAGCTTAAACATTTTCTAAGAAACACAGAGATTTCCATAGTGAAGACTGATAACTGATCAGACAGATTAAAAGTATATTGCAGATGTAGTGGTGCACATCTGTTAACTCCAGCATGTGAGAGGCTCAGGCAGGATAATCAAACAAATGTGACGTCAGCCTGGACTACACAGTAAAACAAGTTCTAAAAGAGAAAAAAAAAAAAAAGATTTCCTACTCCCTGATATGTAAGCAATCTGTAAAATGAAAATCTAAAGGACACAATGTTTTTACAGTGTCACATTGCTTTGACACTGGGCAATGATTAAGATCCAACAACCTTCCTTTGGCATCTGGCAGTTCAATAAACAAAACAAAGCACCAAAGGAAGAAGAGACCTCAAGTGCCAATACCAGGAGTAAGAAAAGTTAAGAAGTGTTAAGTCTCTTCAGCACAGAAACCCAAGAGTTCACAAGCACAAATAACAATAACAAAAAGACTATGTACACATAATCAAAATCCTACTGGTCAAGCTTCTCAACTTTATGGAAATCTGACAACTACAGGTGAACCATTTAAAAAATAAGTCAATTCAAATAATTCTCATAGATTTAATACTTTTTTTTAGGTATCTGCAAGACAATTACCATCATGTTTGTTTCTAAGTACCAAGATAAAAAAATAAATTCATATTGGAAAGTGTTTCATCTGTATCTTACACAAATAATTTCCCTCTAATGAACTGATTTTTATTTTTACTGACTAATTTACTTCAAATGAATATGGGGCAGGTTTTCTTATCTGAAATCTGAAGCGATAATACTATCGTGCTTCGGACTATTATTTAGGTACAAAAAAGAATAAAGTACTGGGTGGGTTGCCTGGCAAGTGCAGACCCTCCATTCAAACCCCAGTATAGTCCCCCGCCAAAAGGAATAAAGTACTGATGCACACTGTAACTATAGATGAACCTTAAAATTATTATGCTAAGTGAAAGAAACTACATGCAAAAAAAAGGCCTTATCTTGGGCTGGAGATGTAGCTCAGCAGTAGAGCACTCCCTAGCATGAGCAAGGTCCTGAGTCCAATTCCCAGCACAGCCAAAAAAACCAAACCAAAACAAAAAATAAAACCTGTATGTTACATGATTCCATTTATATGAATTATCTAGAACAGACAAATTCATAGTGAAAGAACTAGATTAGTGGCTGCCAGGGGCTGAGACAGGGGAGAAGGGAATGACTGCTAATAGGTATGGAGTTTCTTTTGGGATGATGCAAATGTTCTATGCTTAAAAAGTAGTGATACAGTGAGGCACTACTCACGCCTGAATTCCTAGCTACTTGAGAGGCTGAGATCAGGAGAAAGATTGCCATTCAAGGCCAGCCCAGGAAAATAGTTTTTAAGACCTCATCTCCAAAATAAACAGAGGCATGGCTTAAGCAGCAGAGTACATGCTTTCTGAACATGAAGTCCTGGGTTCAAACCCTAGATCTACCCCCTCCACCAAAAAAAAAGTAGCTATAGTTGCACGATTTTGTGCAAACCCACTTAATGGTATACTTAGATGGCTATTTTTTTTTCCCCCTGGTGGTACTGGGGTTTGAACTAAGGGCCTACACCTTGAGCCACTCCACCAGCCCTCTTGTTGTGATGAGTTTCTTTGAGATAGGGTCTTGTGAACTCTTTGCCTGGGCTGGCTTCAAACCTCCATCCTCCAGATCTCTGCTTCCTGAGTAGCTAGGATACAGGTGTGAGTTATCGGCGCCTGGCTTTAGATGGCTAAATTTTATGTTATGTAAATTATTATATCAATAATAATTTAAAAAAAGGAATAGTGGGAAAGCCCATAGATTAAAAGATACCAATCTATCACAATATATAAATCAAATTTGAACAGTAAATGAACAACAGTTGGTGATACTAAATAATTACTGATAAATTTTAGGTGTGAAAATAAATCACAATACATAAATTTAAAATATTTTTAAAGTAAGTATTCTTTTTTTGCAATGCTGAAATTTGAACCCAGGACCTTGCACATGCTAGGCAAGCGCTCTACCACCAAGCTATGTATCTCCAGCACTAAAATAAGGATTCTTATCTTGTGTGTGTGTGTGTGTGTGTGTGTGTGTGTGTGTGTGTGTGTGTGTGTGTGTGTGTTACTGGGGTTTTGAACTCAAGGCCTCATGCTTTCGAGTCAGGCACTCTACCACTTGAGTCATTCTGCCAGCCCTTTCTTGGTGTTGGGTACTGGGGTTTTTTGGTAGGAACGGGTCTGAACTCAGGGCTTCATGCTTGCAAAGCAGGTGCTCTACCAATTGAGCCATACCTCCAACCTCTTTTGTTCTGGTTATTTTAGAGATTGGGGGGGTGGGGGAGAGGGTTTCTCATGAACTATTTACCCAGGCTGGCCTCAAGCCAGGATCCTCCTAATCTCTGCCTCCTGATCATCCAGGGTTACAGGCATGAGCCACAGGTGCTTAGCAAGGTTTTTTATCTTTAAAAAAAAAAAAAAAAAAAGTTGTACAGATTCTAATCCTTCTGTTCTTTGTCATTGTAAAGCCTATAATCCCAGCTACTAAGAAAAGGTAGCTGGAGATTGGGAGGCTCAAGCTTGGAGGCCAGCCTAGACAAAAGTTAGTCCATTTTCACCCATGAGCTGGGCATGGTGGCATATACCTGTCATCCCAACTATGTGGGAGGCATAAAAGGGGGAACTGAGGTCCAGGCTGCCTGAGCAAAAACTTGAGTCCTATTGAAAAAATACCTAAAGCAAAAAGGGCTGGGAGGTAGAGAGAAAAGAAAAAAAAAAGCACTCTGCAATTACTTCATGTTGAACAATCTAAGTAACAAACTATTCTAGTCTTGCATGTATTAATAAAAGTCCACATGATTTAAGTAATAATCCTGAGGACCAGAACCCACAAATTTCAAGTGCTGGATGTCAATTACAAATCTCTTTTAAAAATCAGTTGTCCTGGCCTAGTGTAATGGCATCCTCCTACAATTCCAGTACTGGGAAGGCAGGAGGATCAAAAGTT